GCATACACGGCCTTCAGCGTGGCGGCGGCGTGCGCGCCCAACATCGCGACTTTGCTGGCTCTTCGCTTCCTTGCGAGCGCGTTTGGTTCGTCGTCAATGACCAATGTTGGGGGCGTCATCGCCGACATGTTCAGCAAGAAGGAGCGTGGAATGGCGACAGGCATGTTTGTCACGGCTCCGTTTCTGGGGCCTGCACTTGGTAGGTGGTGGACCGTCCTTCTTCTATGCTGCCCTCTTTCCCCATGGTGCCCTTGTACACATTGCTGATTCTTATCTTTCCCCCCCTTATCTCCCTCTGCAGGTCCCGTTGCTGGAGGCTTTCTTGGCGAGACCCAGGGCTGGCGCTGGACTCTCGGGTTGAGCGCCATACTGGGCGGTCTGATCTGGATTGCCACGACGCTGACCACCCACGAAACATACGCACCGTTCATTCTGCGTCGTCGAGCCAAGGCCCTCTCCCGGATGACGGGAAGTGTATATGTGTCCCGGATCGATGCGGGAAAGCCGCCCAAGACACTCTCGCAGGAGCTCTCGGTCTCTTTCACGCGCCCCTGGGTCCTTCTGTTCCGCGAACCCATTGTCTTACTGGCGTCGCTGTACATCGCAATCGTCTACGGCACGCTGTACATGTTCTTTGCCGGGTTTCCCATCGTCTTCCAAGCCGCTCGAGGCTGGAGCCAGGGTATCGCCGGACTTCCGTTTGTCGGTGTCGCCATTGGCGTCTGTCTTGCCACCCTGGCGGCCGGTGTGGACAACAAGCGCTTCGTGCGCCAGTGCGAGGCAGCCGAGGCAGAGGAACGCGTGGTCGAGCCAGAAGCCAGACTGCGCACGGCTATGGCAGGTTCGATCGTCCTTCCGATTGGTCTGTTCCTCTTTGCGTGGACGACGTATCCGTCGGTGCACTGGATCGCGCCCATTATCGGCGGCATGTTTTTCGCGGCGGGGCTGGTCATGGTCTTCATCTCGTTAATGAGCTATCTGGTCGACTCTTGTGCGTTTTGACGACCTCCTTTGCTTTGTGATGCTCTGCAAACAATACACATGCTCACCCTGTGTCCAGATGTTGTCTATGCTGCCTCTGTGCTGGCAGCCAACTCGGTGCTTCGGTCCCTGTTCGGCACCGCCTTCCCCTTGTTTACCACCCGCATGTACCGAAATCTCGGAAATCAATGGGCGAGCTCCATTCCTGCGTTCCTGGTGATTGGCTGCCTGCCTTTCCCGTTTCTGTTCTACAAGTACGGTCCGCAGATCCGCTCCAGGTGCAAGTATGCTGCCGAAGCAGCAAAGGTGCTGGAGATGATGCATCGTCGGCACATCGCCGTGGTTAGGAGCGAACAAAACGCGCCGGAAACGAAGGCTGAATAGAAGAGCCAAAGGACACTTAGAGGACGGTAAGCCTCGACGACATATATCTGGTGATGATTTCGGCCGAGAAGCCGTATCTAAATCGAGAGTGTTAGTGACCTTGGAACAACACACTTTGGCGGTTCTCCTCTATCCAATCTTCTGGACGGGAAGAGGGTGACCTTGAGACTTACCCTGGCGTTATGACCTAGTTTCCAAATTTTACTCCAGTCCAGGGCTGTTTATACTGTACACATAGACTCATAGATTAACAGTCAGCCGGGAAGGAGTATAAATGCTGGTGCCACCGCCTAGAGTCGGAACTCCAACTCTTGTGAGTCTGCCTGGACAATCCAGGTGTCTCCTGCACATCGTGTCAGTCCCGCGCATTTAGGATGGCCCGAAAAGTAATCGTACCGTACGAGAGAATGCATGCGCTCTCAATGCCTCCCGTTCTTGTGAGATCCACGTCAATATCGACTCGTAAAATCCGGTTGCCCAATCTGCCACTCATCCAGGAAATCAAACTCCAGGAAATCCGGAATGAACGACGGACCATCCTCACCCTGCTCCAGCTGAGACGAAGCCACACTGACCTGTGCATGCGGGCAAGTGGACGCATTCGGCATGCTGTTGTCTTGGGACTGCGACTGCGCAGGGACTTGATCGAGCATTTTGAGCGGAACCAAGTACAGATTTTTCTTGGCCAGAATCTCCTCGAACACCGGCAGCGCTCTTCTGAGGGCGGGTATTTCTTTTCCCTGTACCAGGATGAGCATGGTCTGGTTGATGGAGATCCGAGCCATGGAACGGACGAGCTCTGTCTCGGCTGGGTCGAGGGCCGATTCGATGTGAAGAGCGAGCAGCGCAGTTATTGTGGTTACGCTGACACGGCCATTGTTAGTTGTATTGCTGCGTTCTCTTTTCCAGACATGGCAGAATAGCGAGGAATGGATGGCACCTACAAAGACATGGGAAACTCGTGAAGCGTACCACTAGCCAACACCCTCATGGCAATTGTGTCCAACTCTAGAATAGCGGCCCGAAGCCGCTGTTTGGCCCACTCGCTCCAGTCCGCGTGTTGGGACTGCTGCCAGCAGCGACGTATCAGACGACACAAGATGCACTCAAACCTGTAGCTCATGGCTTGTATATTCAGATAGTAGACGTCAGTTCCAGTATTCCCACCTATGTGCATCTTGGCAGCGAGAGACTTGCGCCATACATCGAGTGGGTGCATCATTTGGCGTGGGTCCTGCTCTGGCTTGTTTGTCACAAGGGACAAACACTGTCCGACTAAATAGAGTTAGTTATGCTTGTAATATCAGTTACAGATTGAAAATCAAGAGAAAAAGGGAATAGAACCAAAACACACATATTCGAGACAACTCGCAGTGGACAATAGGGGAGGCCTTTTGCTGGGGCGTCACCGCCGGGAGTAAGCCGGATGATACTGCTGGGATATCCTCCGCTTCCCAGTCATCCTCCGTCCGAGGCTTGATCGCCGAGGTGTTTTCGAGTAGTCGGGAGCGTCTGGTATTGATAAAGACGTGGAAAATGTCCAGAAACTACACAGCTATAGTAAGCGTAAAGCAGGAAGAACAGAAGACGATGAGGGGAGGACGTACATAGAGACCCCACCAGATCCTTCTATACAACTTCAAGATTTTGCGGGGTTTATCTTCTCGAACACATCTGTCGGAGAGTCGGTAGGCCGTTAGTTCTCGCAATACATGTCAGGGGTGTCACAGCCCAGGAGTAGGAAACGCACGTGTTGCGTAAGTCAAGCTTGGTGGCAAGGCGGATCGCGTTATGGAACCAGAAGCCGAAGTCCCAATCGGTGGGGTGGTCGAGAATCACCGTGCACAAGATGATGGATCCCTGCAGCAACAACAAGGAGTCGTCTTCGGCGCCAAAGTCGTAGAGTAGCTTGGCCTTGGAGAAGAATGACTCTTGCGCGACCGAGCGGCAGGCAAAGCCACACGCGGACAAGACATCTGCTGGAGCATAGAGACTGGCTGGTGTCAATATGACGCGGAGCAGGAACAACGAGCAGTCGCCGGATTGATAACGGCGAATGAATTCAGCTCTGTTGATCACAGGAGCAAAAGGGTAGACATGGTCAAAGTATGTCTTGATAAGGGCATCTCTGTTGTTTTTGTTTGTGAGTAGAGTGGAGACGGAGATCCAAAGAAGGTAGAGCGATAGAGGATTCTTACAAGTAGCGCGGAAGAGGTAGATCAAAGACACCCTTCTTGACAAGATAGTCAATGTCAACGTCGTCTAATTGGGGTAGCTTAGTCCATAGACAGTTCCGAGTAGTAAAACTGTCTTCCGGGCCTGGGCGGTAGGGGGTACTAGAAGCGCTGGGGAGTCGACTGGATTCTGTCGGTTCTTTCACGGCGTCATTGAGGATGTTGAGGTAGAGTAGATCTGGCTCCGTCTGACGTGGGTTTTGGCAATCCAGGGGATCGGAAGTGGAAGGTTGCTCTGAATGATCAGATTGATCAGATTGGTTGAGACTATCCAACTGGCGACTGTCGGATGTAGCGGGGATGCCTGTAGCCTGGCCATGGTCAGTGGGACTTCTGAAGGATCGCCAGAGGAGCAGACGAAAGGACGGTGAAGCGAAGGAGCTGGAATAGTGCCAATCGTCTCAAGCATATTCGTACCTGGCTAGGAATCGTGGAAACATGTACTACCTTCCTTCAAGCCCCTTCTATGTTAGCACGCACCTAATGAACCATCAAATGAACATAACCCATCCTACCAGCAATCAACTCACCTGGTCCGACTCTTCCGGGCCGGCAGTACACAGTCCTTGGCACACTGCCTACTGGTACAGCTGCTGCAAGGAAGGCCGATCACGGCAGCATTGCACTTGACCTTGCGAAGACGGCAGGGTACACATGCCTTATTGGATTTGAGGGCGCGTGTTCCGCTTTCTCCAGCCCTCTGTGGCCCAGCAGCCGAAGTATTCATCGAAGGGTGGAAAGGGTCATTTGCTGTAGCCTGCAATGGTGCCGGAAAATTAGGGCATTAATCGAGAGTGTTTCCTTCTTATGTTTTGGGGAACTCGGCGTTTTGACCTCAGGCCAGCTCGGAAGTATTGTATATTGCCGAGTCTTGGTCCACCAAGGCTGTAAATGCCGAAAAGGTGTTTGACACCGTACCTCGGGAAGCATGGCTCACCCAAACCGCCAAAAAATTCTCCTGACCAGGGCCCTCCAGGCGATTCCAGCCATGATCATCGCGGAACCAAGTCAGGTAGGGTCAAAGTGTTATCAGTCCTGAGGCGTAGACTCAAGCGACTGCTTTTGAAAGTCCCGCGATTTTCACAAGGGGACACACGTGACATCTCGGCGTGTGACAAGCCAGACTTCAACGACCAATCATGATGGCTTCACTGCTCGTGACGAGGCGCTAGACTGTTTAGGTCATCTTGGCGGTAAAAGGCAGCATAATCTTGATCTGTGGGGAAATGCAGAACGCCAGCCTCGTACCAAAGTACAGTTACCGGACTGAAAACTTGTTCTTCATCAGCTGTTCGGCCTCGCTGATCCCTCCCTTTCTCTTCAGCAGGGTGTCTTGCACACTTTTCTCCACTACTGCCGCCTTCTTTTGCGGCTTTAAGGTGCCGCCAGCCTACCTTCACCATGTCGCGGCGCGACTTTCTCAACCAACAAGCCCCCGAAAATTATGTTGCCGGTCTCGGTCGAGGCGCAACCGGCTTCACCACTCGATCCGACTTGGGCCCTGCTCGAGATGGACCCAGCGCCGAACAGATCCAAGAGGCTCTTGCGCGACGAGCACAGCAACTCGGTGCAGCTCCCCCCACGGCGTACGGCGCCAGCACCAAGAAACCAGAGCAAGAAGAGGAGGATGACGACCGGTTTCAGGACCCGGATAACGAGACAGGCCTCTTTGCCTCTGGCACTTTCACACAAGACGACGACGAGGCAGATAGAATCTATCAGGATGTGGATGAGCGCATGGGCAAGCGTCGGAAAAGACTAAGGTTAGTACCACCCTTCCCAATTTGCCCCTTCCCTTCGCAAAGACACGTGGTTTATCTTTTCCACATGGGAATGAACAGATTACCGACATGATTCCTTCGCCGTCCTCTAGGGAAGAACGAGAACGAGAAGAGCTCGAGGAGTACAACCGCAAGAACCCAAAAATCTCGGATCAGTTTGCTGATCTGAAGCGAGGCCTCGTCACATTAACCGACGACGACTGGGCAAATATTCCAGATCCCGGTGACCTAACAGGCAAGAATCGACGAGCGAGACAGAACCGACATCAGCGCTCCTATGTTGTACCTGACAGCGTCCTTGCGAGGGCGAGGGATGCTGCCGAGTTTTCAACCAGCGTGCAAGATGATCCCGCAGACGGCGCTGTCACTACTGTGGACCACAAGGATGGAACCATGACAAACTTTGCCGATATTGGTGCTGCAAGAGACAGAGTGCTACAAACTAGGCTAGACAGGGCGGCAAAGGCGGACGCCGGTACAGGCACAGCGACGACGATTGATCCGAAAGGATATCTCACCAGTCTTGAGACGTCAGAGTTCGATCCCTCCAAGGTACAGCTCGGCGAGATTCAGCGGGTACGGACTTTGCTCGACTCCGTGATTAAGACCAACCCCAAACACGCACCAGCCTGGATTGCCGCTGCGCGCTTGGAAGAATACGCTGGTAAGATTGTCGCAGCGAGGAAAAAGATGGCCCAGGGCTGTGAGATGTGTCCAAGGAGTGAGGATGCCTGGTTGGAAAATATCCGGCTCAACGAAGGACAGAACGCCAAGATCATTGCTGCCAACGCCATCAAGAACAACGAACGGTCCACCAGATTGTGGATTGAGGCCATGAGACTGGAGACAGACCCTCGAGCAAAGAAACGAGTCCTCCGGCAAGCGATCGACCATATTCCGCAATCAGTAGCGATCTGGAAGGAAGCAGTGAATCTGGAGGAGGATCCGGAAGACGCGAGACTCTTGCTGGCAAAGGCTACTGAGATTATTCCGCTGTCCGTTGAGCTCTGGCTCGCTTTGGCTCGTCTGGAGACGCCTGAGAATGCTCAGGCTGTCCTCAACAAGGCCCGAAAGGCTGTACCCACCAGCCACGAAATCTGGATTGCTGCGGCCAGGTTACAAGAACAAATGGGCAATGCCAATAAAGTCAATATCATGAATCGTGCCGTGAAAGCATTGGTGAAGGAGGGAGCCATGCTCAAGCGCGAAGAATGGATCACGGAGGCTGAGAAATGCGAGGAGGAGGGTGCTGTCTTGACGTGTGGCGCCATCATTCGGGAGACTCTCGGCTGGACTCTCGACGAGGATGATGACCGAAAAGAGATCTTCAAGGATGACGCTAAGGCAAGCATTGGACGGGAGAAGTTCGAGACCGCTCGAGCCATCTATGCCTACGCCTTACGAGTCTTCCCCACCAGCAAATCACTGTGGATGGCCGCAGCTGATCTCGAGAGGAACCATGGTACCAAAGACGCCCTGTGGCAAGTTTTGGAAAAGGCCGTCGAGGCTTGTCCTCAATCAGAAGAATTATGGCTTCAGCTGGCAAGGGAGAAATGGCATGCCGGAGAAGTTGACGATGCCCGACGAGTGCTCGGTAAAGCATTCAATCAAAACCCCAATAACGAGGAGATCTGGCTGGCAGCGGTCAGGTTGGAGGCCGATGCCGGGCAGGTCAGTCAAGCACGAGAACTTCTTGCGACGGCGAGACAAGAGGCACCAACTGAGCGAGTATGGTATAAGAGCGCGGCATACGAAAGGCAGTTGGGCAACACCGATGTCGCCCTCGACTTGGTTCTTCAAGGTCTCACGTCAAGAGTGATCGATAAGAAAGAGACACGCTTTCCACGAAGTGCGAAGCTGTGGATGATGAAGGGACAAATCTACGAGGATAAGGGCATGGTACCTCAGGCGCGAGAAGCGTATGCCCAGGGCACCAGAGCGTGCCCCAAGTCTGTGCCGTTGTGGCTTCTGGCGGCGAGACTCGAACAAAAGGAAGGCATCATCATCAAAGCGCGCTCCGTGCTTGACCGTGCACGCCTCCAGAACCCGAAGAATGCCGAGCTATGGGCCGAGAGTGTCAGAGTCGAGCTACATGCCAACCCCCCGAATGTCCAGCAGGCCAAAATCCTTATGTCCAAAGGGTTGCAAGAGTGTCCTAAGTCAGGGCTTCTGTGGTCTGAGAACATCTGGAAATTACAACCGCGTACGCAGCGTAAACCTCTGAGTCTGGAAGCCATCAAGGCTGTGGATAACGATCCTGTGTTGTTTGTGACGGTGGCGCGGATATTCTGGAGCGAGCGGAGACTGGACAAAGCGATGAATTGGTTTGAGAAGGCGCTTGTGGTGGATCCTGACCTGGGAGATAGCTGGGCCTGGTACCTCAAGTTCCTGATGCAGCACGGAACCGAGGAGAAACGGGAAGATGTCATTGCAAAATGCATCGCGAATGAACCGAAGCACGGCGAGGTGTGGCAGAGAGTGAGGAAAGATCCCAGGAAGGCGTCCCTGACTACGAAGGAGGTGTTGATGGAGGTGATGAAACAGTTGGAGGCGAAGGAAGTCATCAGCTGAGCGCGCTGATAGCTCTCAAATTCAGTATACACATTGTCTCTACTGGCGATGGGCGGCTATGGTCTCTGTGGCGCTTTTCGCGAGGCTGTCGGAAATCTCGAGCCGGTGGCAGCAAATATACACAGTCACGTGCGAGGCTTGATGATGATGTCACCAACATTGGAGATTGGCTGACTTTCTCCCACTGTTTCCCCCATACTCTGTATTGTGTCCAATCTGCTATATCTCTATTTCTCGATGATGATTGCGGATAGCAGAGTCATGGTGTCATTGAGTTGCACGACATTTTTTCCGCATTCAATTCCTCCTGAATCCCATCCTTAACCCTTAGGGATTTGTATAGCATGTCATCATTCTGACGCGAGCCTCCCCGTTGTCATTGTCTTTGCAGACCATTCAAACTGGTGACGTTGTTGGCTGCGCCCGGGTTCATCCTCGGGTCTCCAATCCGCTGCAATAAATGTACCCATCGCATCAAGAAAACAAGTGGACAAAATGATTGTGTGCGCCTGAAACTTTCCAGGCCGGAATAATCATCTACTTGGTCTGTCCCTTCATTCGTTTCTCTTAGATATAGACCTCGGCTCTCTATTCCTACACTCTTCTTCATCCTCATGAGTCCTAGGTCACTGCTTCGTCTCGGATTCTATTCGATTTCTCAACGACAGATCACATCTACGAGCCTTCTCTCACGGCGTGCCGCATCTTCGTTTATCCCTGCTTGCTGTCTTCAAAGACCACGTACTCTACCTGCGCCTTCGAAGATTTCGGGCGCCCATCATTTTTTGTCAGGTTATATCCACAGTACCTCTGAGCAATCCAGACGCTCATTCACGACCAGCAAAATGGGTAAAGAGCAGGACAGCGTACCATCTAAGAGGGACAATGAATCCCCAGAAGCCCATCAATACCAAGCTGGTTCCACCACAGACCGCCCGGAGGATGAGTGGAAACACCGCGAGCCATACCGTCTCCACAGCAAAGATGAGGACTTCCCAGTTAAATGGGAGGGTCAGTGCCATTGTGGCAAAGTCACGTATCAGTTGAGTCGAGACAAGCCGTTGGCGGCCAAGTATTGTCATTGCACGACGTGTCAGAGATTACATGGAGTAAGTTACGCCTGTCTAACCCCCACACACTGCTGCTGGTGTGCTTTTATGATTTGAGGATACTCTCTGATGGTCCATTTATTTTCAAGGCACCCTTTCAATGGGCTGCCATCTTTCACAAGTCGGATATCAACTTCACAAATGGCCACCACGACCTCGGCTGGTACGACCCAACTGCAAAATCCACCACGCATCACCTTCCTTGTAAGGTCTCTTGTGCCTATTGTCGTGCTCCTATAATGGACGAAGGGCGAAACATGATTCTCTTATTTCCCCCACTTATCAAGGACATCAACACCCCGGCTGGCCGAGAGGCTTTCAGACCAACCTGCCACATGTTCTACCCGCAGCGAGTGGCCAGCTTCAAGGGCGATGGAATTGTGAAGTGGAAGGGACTGGACAACACGAGTGATCTGCTGGATGATGACGAGAATGTTCTGGTGAAATGGGAGGAAAACATGGACGACAAAAAGATGGAGCAGAAAAAGAGGGAGTTCCTGGAGTTTACGCATCGTGAGGAGGTCAAGAGAGTGAAAAAGTCAGATGGGTAAGGCTGAGGAGAGCGGAGAGCAGGGGTTTGAGCACCCCTGCGACTTAGGAAGTCAAACACGCAAAAATGTTGATACCGATGTAGAAACAAACTGCGTGACATGTGAAGCAACTCGTGTCAATGGCGTGTCGATGTGGACTCGGGGTGTGTTGCGTGACAGACCAATGTCATGCCAAGACTTATTCTTCTCTATCGTACTAACCTAGTCCAATTAGAGCTAGACTGGCTTGGCCGGATTATAAACCCCGTGCATCCCACTCGAGCCTCGATCGCCTCGAATTTTCCCGTTTCCCGAAAACCCCACGTTACACTAACCACAGCCTTGGGATTCATTCTCTCCTCAGACGCCTTCGTCCAGCCGAGACGAGTCGAGCGCAACCAGACCGTATCGTCTGAGCCAGTAGAGCTTCAGCGCTCCCCGTGTCGGCATCGCCATGGGCAGAACATCTCCGCAGGGATTGACGGCCCAAGACTTCCATCACCAGCCCTATGTCAATCCTGTCGACGTCTTCCCGCCCAAGTCACGCCTCGCACATCGGGCGCAGAACTACAGATCACCGATAAGGGGCCAGGTCCCAGCGAGGAGCCCGTCACGGTTTTCCGCAGAACCTCACAAATTTGCTTGTTGCGGCGAGGACGACGAGTCTTCCTTCCAGCCGTCCAACGCCCTTAACTGCTGTGTCGACTACGAACACGACAGCGCCGGCATTGTCGATTTTGACCAGGTTGCCAATGACCTTGCACCCTGCTGTGATGAACCTCATCATACCTCCCCCAGTCCAATGGACTGTGAGGATTGTGTTGACGACTGCGAGGACTGTGTCGAGGAGCATCTGAAAGCAAACCACCACGCCGGCGACTATGTCGACGATTGCGAGGAATGTAAAGAGGAAAATGGTGCCAAGTGCTCCGAAGGCGCTTTGTGTCAAGGCACCTGCGACGAGTGTGATTTCTCTTGCTTTGACTGCATTGACTGGAGTCAGTTTGAACGGGATAAAACTCTGGGCCTATCATTCTCGGTCCCACTACTGGATGAGAATGCCTTGATGGCCCCGGACCTACAATTTGACGAGACAGACGCTCCCACTTTCCGAGCTCTCGAACTCCCTAACGGCCAGCCCGATGTTGTCGCACATCCGCTGGACGTCCCTATGCACCACCAGTGCTTCGATAACACTATCCCCTTCTGGACCAACATAGCTCAGGAGCAGATTTGCACGGGCAACCCCGGACTAAATCAACAGCTCCCGTTACCACCATTTAGACCGAACTTTGGATGTCATCCAGCCGCCGCTCATCAGCGCACATCTCTACCCGAGTTCGCGGTATCTGAACCGATGAATATTAGCACAACTTCCAGCCTACAACCCAAAGCACTCCTTCCTGCTGCTCCTCCCAAGGATCCATTGAACAACACACAAGATCTTTTAAGTGCCGTTACTTCCCCCGAGACCTCTCGAGCCTGCCAATGGCTCATGCCTTGCGGCACTGTTTGTGGCGCCTCCTTCGCTACTGGCACCGACCTCAAGAAGCATTTGAAGTCTGTTCATTTGGTCAAAGGGGTGACGAAATGCCAGTGGCAGAACTGTGACTCTCCAAACTTTGCTTCCGAAGCTGCGCTGACGGGCCATATCTCGAAGAAACATCTCGCCTCGTTTCTTACCACGTTTTCTTCAACATCTTCGTCTTCCGCCTCCGCGGCAGGTCATCGACACCAGCACCTTCACAAATCAGAAGGGCCGTTCAAGTGCACATTCCCTTCGTGCCCGAAATCGTTCATGTACAAGCAAGTCCGCGACGAGCACGTCGCGACCCACCACAACGGCAATAAGATGTACTGCCATATCTGCCACACGTTCCTGAACGGCGAAGGCTCGAACTTCAAGAGGCACATGGCCACGCACAGGCCCAAACATCAACACACGCTGTGCAAGTACCACGGGCTGGGCTGTAAGAGGCGATTTCCCAGACTGGACAACCTGAGGAGACACGAGGCGTGCTGCAAGTTCGGAAAGGGACTGAAAGCCAAAAGCGTGGACAGTGCCGACAGCCCACACCACCACCACAACCACCATCATCACCCTCACGCTTGAGAGGGAACACGGTGGTTCCAGTTGGTGAGGCTAATGGAGAGCCGTCTGGGTTGGAAGGAAGCAAATTTTTACCGTTTTTTCATTGGAGGTGCATAACATAAATCCATTCTCCTACAAAGGGTAGTACTGTCACGATCGCCAGTACCGTGTTTTACAGATGAAGGATCGCGAGTCGAGAGCTGACAACCGCCTCTAACCCCAAAGCTCGACAGGTTTTTACAATATGTGTGTGTGTGTGTGTGTGGCAAAGACTACCCAGGACTCTGCACACCATTCGCAGAGTTGAAGTTGGACAATCCTGAAAGAGATTCGGACCGATGTCTACGAAGCTACATATCTAGCTATCATATATAGGCTTCCAATGCGACTGTCGACGCATGCTTGGCTACACAATATACCATATACCATTGAATTCATACCATGCATCGGGGTTCTACATATACATTTCATATCTCGTATCACATATCACATACCACACACCAAGCACCACATATCACATTTTCTATGTATATCACATCACATCGCTTCGTATCTGGTCAGGAGGCGGCCTCCCCACCCCTCACGACTCACGAGGCCACACGACAGTAGTCTAGTCTCTGTGTAGACAGATAGACACATAATGTAAAATATTGTATAGAGACATATGGGTGATTTGGTAGACGCCCAGCGAGCTAGGTAGGTATGGAGGTGATTAATCAATTGATTAAGTAGTTGTCGAGTGGATCGGCTATACTATACTATTACTAGATATCCCAAGAGATGTGTCTCAAGCCATCTCATCCTGTCGGGTTCTTGATGATGATGATCATCATCAGCCCCATCGTCGCCATTATGCATTGAGACGTCCGTCCTCCCCGAGGTATCCTCTGCAACGGATCTCCAGCTTCGCTTCCGGCATTACAAAACAAAGAGTAAAACAGAAACTCGCCACCGGTGCTCGTGAGTAACGAGCTGTAACTTGGACAAATGCTGTTTCATTCTTCCGAAACGCCCTGGTATAAACTGACCTTCTGTGGTGGGTATCATGAATGTGTTGAAATCAAACAGGGCATTATTGCGATGAGGGGGTATTCTGGTACTTGAAATCAAAGAGTCACAAATGCCAGCCCGAGAAAGCGGTAGCAAAGGTCTTTGGCGGCATCCTAAGCAGCTTTGGACAGGCGGTCTGCGTAAATGGCATGCACAGGCTGTGAGTGCTGGATAGTAGGAATCCAGACTATGCCAGAAGTTGGCGGCTGATGATCGTTCCGGATCGGCCTCAGGCACATCGTGCCGTTTCCGTAGAAGCGACTAAACCGTCTCAAGCAGGGTCGGCCTTTGGGTAAGCATTAGAAGTCGTGCTCGGACTTGGGGTAGGCATAGGATGCGTAATGTCGTAGAGGTCATGAAAGAGTATCGGTGCTGCCCGCAGCTCCAAAGGTGATCAAGCTGCCAACGGGACGCCTGCCAAACCGCTCCCGTTTCCTCTGCCGCCTTTTAGCAGCAAGTTGCGGGCTCCATACTCCAGCAAAGAGGTCCTCACATTCATCCTCGTCTTGCGAGTCAAATTCGAGCTCATCGCTCGGATCGCCAGCTCCATCGACCATCTTTCTCAGGTCTCTTGGAGGCAGGGGTAGGACTTCATCGTATGTGCAGGGACTGGTGTCATCCCCCTCATTCTCCCACGAAACGTTGATGCGAATGCGTTTGGTCTCGAGGATAAACTTGCCAACCTTGTACTTTTGGCTCTCTTCACTGGCTTCAACATATTTCCATCCGAGTATGCTGTCGCAGATTGCGCAGCTAATATCGCTGACAATGTGCTGCCCCGTCACGAGGTTTCGCGAGATATTCTTGTTCTGAAACGTATTAGGCAAGGAAGGGGCTGTGGTGTGGATGTGGCTAGTTGTCCCTTGAACCAGATACGCCCGACCATGTCTGCCCATGAAGCCCTTGCTGATGATCTGCGAAGTCAGGCACAGATCAGTGGAGCATTTTGCGCATTGAATGTGGGAGCTGTGGCCATTGAGGAACTTGTCCTCCGGCGGAGCTATAGTAGATGAAGTGGATGAGACGGGAATGGGGGTCGGGGTTGGGCTTCTAGTGAAGGGGTTCGAAGCGGTTGAGGCGACGGACGCAGCTGTGTCCGTGGAACTGCTGCTGTCGGTGCTCGACTGACGTGACTTGCGGCGAAACGGGATCGAGGGGAGAAGATATGTAGGGAAGATGGGAAAGAATGCTGGAGGATCGGAGGTCTTGCGGAGGAAGGACATCGTTGCTTCGACTGGAGCAGGACGTAGACAGCTTGGGCAGATTATTAGGAGTCCGGAGGGAAGGCACAGCAGTCAGCAAATCGAGCAGGTGTAGTCGTTCATAACTCCTCTTGGTCACACGCAGGGATGGGTTCGCGGATGTGGATCAGTAATGGAATTGGCCTGAACCGGAGGGTTATGACATCGGATGCCTGGCGTCAGCTGGGAGAGGCAGTGTCGAGTGTTGAAGCAAACAACACCGTCCAGTCAGTGTCCGGTTGAATGACAAGATCTTGTGGACCAGCCACCACGATGAGAGGAGAGAGAGGGAGTGAGGGTGGAAGTTGAAATCGAAGGCGGGAGTCAAGGAACATGCGGTAAAGTCGATCATCCATCAGCCTTCTCCTTCGTGTATCCGCGTTCTCGCCCACGGTTTGTTACTGATACCCCGTACCCATTGTCACCTGAACTTGTTCCGATCAGGTCCGCGTGATCATTCGGATGTCGAACGAGGGAGAGGGGAGACATGTCTGACAGGAACCATTGAGCATGAAACTGGCTGTGACAATGAGAGGTCAAGATGTCAGACAATTGGATGATTTTCGGCGGGGACAAACCTCGGAGGTGGGATGTCACCAGGTGTTGGTGGTGGTGTCAATGTAAGAAGCTTACCAGGGCGCAGGTGGGGTAGTGAAGGTGGACGAGGTGGACAAAGCGGATGCAGTGGGCAAAGGCTGGTGGCTCCATCAGGCCCCATTAGGCTCCATTTGGGCTTATCGATTAACAGTCTGGGCCTGATAGGCGCTACAACCCCTCTATTGAGCAATGAGCCAGCACTCGCCAACACCAAGATGACCACCTAGGCAACTTTTACCGGTATCCCTCGCCTGAAACTCCGAAACTCCCGTCTATCCTACATACATTCCTTCCACCGAGATCGGCACCCTTTTATACCTCGCCGACAAAACGACTGGGATTCGGCATGATAAATTGATTGGCCAATTTGGGCAGAGACGAACCGTTGAGATGTAACGGGGCGTTGAGGAGGAATGCCGAGTTGGTATCAATAAAAACCAGGAGCCGAGACAGGAACCCTTCCAGGCCCAGAGCGGCCAGTCCGCCTCTTTCTTCCAACATGCGTTTCACGGCGTCCATGTGACAGTGATATGCGCCCTCGTCCCCGAAGATGGCTTCGTAGCTGGCCATCTTGGCGACAGCGGCGATGATCTCGTCCCGATAGACCATGCCCTTCTTCGAGGCCGGTGACAGGGCCTGCGCGATGCCGGAAATGGCGCATTGTTTAAGGAACAGGATCGTCTCGGCCAGAGTCATGTCATGCTGCCTCGCCGCATAATGAGACGCCGAGAACAAGACGATGACTTGGAAGATGATCGGCGAGCTGAGAACCATGGGGAACCACGAGGTCTGCAGGAGAACAGACCGACTGTCTCCGTCTAGCTCGGGCACGGCCACGGCCAGATGCTTCAGGTCTAGGGGGGGATCTAATCAGCACACACAGATCATGGCAGAAAGCAAAAGCCGTGAATGCAGCAGGAAGGACAGGTGATCAGCTGCAACCTACAATTTTCCAGCACTACGGAAACAAGAGGATGATGGTAGATTGGACTCTTTGAAGCCGGAATCATGCTCGCTGCAGATGGTCCAGCCAGGAGTAGTCGGTCATTGCTCGCTGTCGCGGGGACAGATGGAGGAGACGGCACCCTGTCTTCTGATTGTTCCTCACTTTCTTCTTTCTGGCTGGCTGAGGGGTCGACGAGCGAGTCGAGACAAAGATCCCATGTAGGATTCGGCTCGCCGCGGCGCTTTTTGTGCGGTGGCCGTTGAGTCGAGCGGCAAGACTGATGGCGGGACACAACAACTCGGGCGACGTGCGACCTGATCTCCCGGCGCATTCGCTGCGCTTGGGCCTCCTCTAAGGGCCCAGCATCGATAAATGTGAGCAGGGGTCGCACCATGTTTTCCTTTGCCGGATTAGGAGAAACAGGCGAGACGCAGAAGACATGGTCCCAAAGGTACCTAGGTGTTATCCGGTGAGATGAGAAGGAGGAGAAGAAAGTGACAGGCCACGCTGATCTAGCTTCTTACTGCTTTGGGCCTCGTACGTACGAATATGGCTTAGCGCTTCCAAACGGCAACCTCCGCCAACTCTATCAACGAAGCATATCAAGCATATCCCCTTCCTGTTCTTTATTGCCTTTCCCTGCTTTTTTTGGTCCCTCATTCAACTCAGACTACCTCGTACTCCGATGTGCTCCAACCAGGACTGTCCAGCCCGTCACCTTCAAGGGAGCAAGGAAGACCACTTAGCGGGATCTTCCCTCCGCCAGAGAATTTTTGACCCGTACCGCACACTTGTTCGCAGCCCGCGCTCTGCTGTTTTAACGACTCGTGTATCCTCCATTGGCAAAGATTGTCTGGCCTGTTTGGATTGACACCATATCAGCATCTGCCATCACGTCATGCAAGCTTCAAGTGGACATATGTGCTTCCGTCCACAGATCCGATCACTTCTTGCTGTCCATCTCCAAAGCCCCGGGATGGGGAACATGTTCCACCTACCATTGATCCAGGCCCCTTCAGTGCACAAGAATTTGTATATGGGAGCAATGTCTTTGATGTCCGTGAGCCGGCCGCCAATGGCATTTGACTTGTGAAAGGCGACTGCCTCCGGGCTCTCTTGGCCGTAGAAGAATGCTGTCCCAAAGTTAGTCGGACCTCCGCATGTACAATGAGATCATTTGAGTTCCCATGGATTTATCTCTTGGTTGATTGGGCGCGGATGAGATCTCAACCCTCCGGTAAGTCTGGGGACTGCAACTTACGCGTATCCTAATTCATTGCCTTGTTAGCCTCTATTTGGTCGGCGGGATTCGCAGCACACGATGCCCGTATACGTACCATGGGCCCCGGGGCAACAGCGTTCACACTGACCCCCCTTGGCATCAGCTCCTTGCTCAAGCCCTTGGTGAACCACTCGACTGGACTCTTGCTCCCCTGGTAGGAAGTGTAAGACGGAGCGTACGCCGCGAGGAGGCTCGTCACGGTATTGATGATCTTGCCGCCGTCGCTGACCCGTTTGGCCGCTTCCTGGGTGATGAAAAAGGCCGCTTTGGAATTGATGGCGAACATAGTGTCATACTCCTTCTCGGATATCTCAACCAATGGTTTCTTGAGAACCATGCCCACCGTGTTGATCACAATGTCGAGCTGAGGGCCAAAGTCTGCCGCAACACTCTTGAATAGCTTCTCCACGCTTGTCGCAGTGGTAAGGTCCCCTTGGTAGATCTTGACCTTGATGTCTTTGTGCTTGGACGAGAGGTCAGCGGCAAGTGTTTCGGCCGCTTTTTGTGTTGAGGCGGAATTGTAGTGCAGCGCCAGGTTCGATCCTTCGGCGGCGAAGAGCGTGGCAATCAATGCTCCGAGATTCTTGCCGCCTCCAGTGATGAGTGTCGTTTTGCCGGAGAGAGACATACTGGGAGGTAATCGAGGTGCGACTCAAGTACTAAAACAAACTCTTGGGTTGGTAAGGAAGGTGAAGAAGCACAGGCCTCGCAAGGTTGCCGTGAGCATATGGCACCATTCTTATACCTTCGACCACGAACGTCTCTGTTCGTTTCTTCCTTCCTTTCAGAGACAGCAAAGCCTATCGATCCCAGGCCTCATGCAGAAGAAAAGGTTGCCGTGGGCACAGACACTCCCGATCAGTTCAGCACCAAGCCTTGCGACGCTTCTCTCCAGATCTGCGCGACGTCAAAGCTGAGAGATCGACCTATCACCCAACCCCAGAGAGGTCAGGGTGGGGGGTGGAGAGGCCCATTAACCACAAATGGTTGCTGCATGCAGACATTGGCATGGTCCGTGCGTAATGCTTAAACCACTTTTGCTCCATCCACGGACACAAATGACGATCCTCTTCACGTAAAATGCTGGCCAAGGCATGCGGGGTCAGTCCGTGTAATCCCTTTTTCCGCTGCGGCCATAGAATCAGGTCGGAGCACGGCGACGCACGGTCAAGCGTCTCTGCATCGTACAAGCAGGTCACCACACAGAGCATATCGTCGAAGAAATAGGCAGAGAGTGAACTCATTGATGATATCCAAAGAAAGTATCCCTCCACCGTCAGAGTGGCTATTTTTGCCGACTGACCACCATACATCTTACCGTGAACGATGCCGTGGAACGTCGTAAACACAACATCCTTATAGCTGGACTCTCCAGATGGGAAAGCGATGACAAAGCTAGGTACATAGCGACGAGGATGGCAAGAGTCGGTCGGATCCCAGCCATGAGCGCCTCTTGACAGCGTACTGATCTGTGCAAGAACCAAAGCACATGGAAACCGCCTCAATAAATGGCATCCACAGCAGAATACTCTCTGGCCTCGATCAATAGCGAATACTTCATCAGTCCGGACTCGGTATTTTCCACCTGCAGCTCGTATGACAATCGGCAGTAAGGCTCTCCGTCAGAACGTCGATACTTTTTCTTGAACAGTCTCCTGGGCACCACGCGCAAATCCGTCTAGAGCACACAATTGAGGGTAACTACATACAGGTATGTCAGAATATATGTACAATAAGTGTCGTCGGACACTGGACTCACTGCTCACTGGATGCTTTGGCGGCGTTGGCGAAGTAGACTCACAGGGCTCATTTCGAACTCTGAGTAACGATCCACGGGGACGGTGGCCTGCAAACAGTGGAACAAAGGCGAGTTTTGTTTTTCCACCGCGTCGTAGGCCGTCATCCTGTTCATATAATGCTTCTTCACTTCTTCAATAATCTTTCCGTGGAGCAGCGGGAGGATTCAAAGTCGAGAGGCGTCCACAATGTACCATGTATATGAACCAATGCATGGTGTCGCAGTCTTCCCTCTAGATAGGCACATGATCAAGGTTGTGGCAGGGAGTCCTACGCGTCCTTTGGCTGAATTGCCGTGATCCCAGGGTTCGAATCTCGCACCGCTTCCTTCAAACAGGGGCTTGCTCCAAATCCGTCAATGAGGAAAATCGCCTGGATGGTTCATCAACTTGTGTCGCAGAGGAAGTTGGGACGGTACCGACCTTGACGCCATTTGGATTGGGTGGACTGGCTTGTAAACGCTCAACCTTGACCGCGGGCGGGAAGACATACCTTGTTGCTTGTGTCAGCACCCTCCTCTCACAAGCGCTTCCAGATCATATACTTCGTATAATGTATACAGATTTCGTCTATGCAATGCTCTCTCGTGAAAGCGCTGCACCCTTTGGCAAAACTGCCAGCTGCTGCTGAATAGTTTCCTTCTTTTGGAAACTGATGCTGTGGTTGATGAAGAGGCATGTCCTCCATGGTGAGGTAAGCTATGTTTATAAAAGCCTCAAGCAGATAGCTTGTTGCTGGTGAGATTTATTCATAATCATGTCCTTTCCAGCGAGCATGTCCCAGGACAGTCGTGCTCCTTTGGTCGAAGATATGAGATCTATCGCAACGGCCACCCAAGCTCAGATTGAGTCCTCGACACATCCTAGCTATGACCACGAAGGTAGCACAGGTAATGCTCCTGGCTCGAGCCAGTCAAGTGGAATTTCGGATAAACGAACAGAATTTCGTCAACGGGTAGGGATAAAACCTGAAACTGATGCGATTCCTCTCATGCTGTCCTTCACCTTACAAAGGCCTTGCATCAAAGACGCAGACGTGAACAAACGACTTCTGCAATCATCGCTCAAGCAGCGACTCAAGCTGAACCGGAAAAATGCTGACAATTCGTCGGGTTCGTAAGGCGACTTACACTGACCAATTCCTCTTCCGAAACCGTCTCGAGAAAGCATACAGGGATCAAACCCGTTTCTATTACATCGCCATGTGCGTCTCGCACGGTTTGCTCTGGCCTCAAATCGGTATTGGCGCAACAGTCACCGCGCTCGGGACGACAAGTCTAGCTCTTCGTTCAAAGTGCCGATTCGTTCTTTGCTGCGTATTCGTCCTCTATTATGCCACCAGGAAAAACTGATAAACGATTTGACAAGATTCAAAGGCGGCAAGAATCGCTATAACCGTCCATCAACACCGTCATTGCGGGCTTTTTGACCTTTCGCAAGAGAAGAAACCAACCAAACAGGGCATTACAGTTTAGGAATCGCCTGCGAGGAGTATACGAGGATCTGTGGCAGGTTGACGCGGAGATGTTGAGTGGTAGGAGAGACATCGGCGTGGATCAAAGGGTGGACGACTTGTGGAAAAAGTACAAGAGGTCACGGCCGAGGCGGAGGTGAGTTGGCTTCTCTTGTTTTTACTCACTCACTCGTCCACTTTCCTTTGTCGTTAGTATTTTTTCTTCAGGAGACCTAACCAGACCAACTTTTGTTTACTCCTAGGCAAACTACCAGGATCTATGGGTCAGTCTCAGCAAATTGATCAAGCCCACAGACGCGGACAAGCATCCGAGCACGCAGTTGAAAGATGTCTCGCCAGCAGCGACCAGTGACCAGAAGCCTTCGAGCGAAGAATCGTTGCTCAAGACAAGGCCATGATCATGGGGACCGCCTTCAAGAGAGATGCTTCGTTTGCGTTGTCAAGACACACTTGAATTGACGGATACCGTGGTGATGATTCTGGGTTGGCAGGGCTTGAAGAACGCCTCGCCATAAATATTGGTGTTGACAATGGAGTATTTGGTGACAGATTAGACAGACCAGATCAAGAAAGCGCGTCACAAACAAATCTCCTGTTCAAGCCAATACTCCATTGACCGCCTCAAGTAGAAATTGGGCTATACCATCGCCGTCCAAGACAGAAACCTCCAACCCACTAATGTCAAATTCAACCCGCTGGATACTGGTGGCGTCTCACTTTAGGGCGTTTCCAACATCGCTTGACTCTCTTGAGCAATGACAGGATGATAGTCGCCCTTTTGGAACAAAAGGTCGTCGTCCATATCCACTGAGCGGTCAATCTTGAAGTACCTAATCTCCCACTCCTCATCTATAATGTCGCCAAAGCTTTCCAGCTCGGCCCACAGTTCTGGATGCGCCTTCTTCGCCCACTTCTCCACCTCGTCCTTGCGATACTGCCAGGGTATGGCGTTGTAGAATGTGCCAATGGTGACAGCGTCAGGAAGCTCGCCTGTATCGTGCTCCATATGCTCAATCAATTCCACGACATTTTCGAACTCGGACTGTCCAGCAAGGGCACCAATGTACGCATCGTACACTTCTTTTGTGATGATGAGGTTAAAACTCTGCATCAGTGCCATAATACGTCTCGCCTCGTGACCGCCCTGTGGTATCCACCTCTCACATGCTCGCAGAGCAAGGATAAAAGAGCTCAACGTGGGTCCCTCGCGGGACTCCATGATCTTCCAGAAATGATCGATAATCGCGACAAACGGTTGTTGACATTCCGTGTATGCTGCCATAAGCCCATTGTGGATGCGCGTCGTCTGTTCGACTTCCAGGTCTAGTTTGAGCATATTGTAGACCATCTGTAGCCCGTCGATGTCCTTACACTTGGCGATCCCCTCAAAGCATTTCGCATATGCCTCAGGTGTAGGCCGAGCTTCAATATCTTCACGCTGCCGCATATGGCCGAATACGAGGCATGCTAGGTCAGGACGATTCCGATCAAAGAACGACTGCATCAGGGTGATACGGTCTCGTACCGGGGCCTCGGGGAACGCATGACGGAACAGTTCGTAGGCATTGTAGGCGCGCTGGTCCTTGACCGTCGGATCCACGATGAATTGTTGGAAGACCGCAGCTATTCTAGCCCGGTCGTCCATGGGATAGCTGTCGACGCGGTGGCGGAGTAGACCTGTTGCTTCTTCCAATTCGTCTTTTTGAAGGAAGACGTGGCACAGTCCCGCAATTGCTTCAGCCTCTAGTTCTGCTCCACTTTCAAGTAGGTGGTCAACCACCTGCATCAGATGCATGTATTCAGGATCTGCAGAGAAGGACAAGGCGGCAATGTAGTGGTTTAGAATTGGCACATCCGACCTGTCGACGGGTATATCTTCTCTGGATAGAAGCTCGTAAGCCAGGGCTGCAGCCGCACGATCTCCGCGCTTCATTTCGTAATTCAGCTGCAAAGCTCGAGTCCTGGCGTCCGGGTGTAGACCAAGAGATTCGGCCAGTTCCAGATAGCGCATCGCTATCTCCGGGTTATTTTGCGCATATGCATACTCGATCACACGGTTCAGGCTTTTCATTGACACTGCATCGGTTACCCCTCGCTCCGATAGCTGTTGAACCATTTGGCGTATGTGGTTCACATCGGGATCATGCGTAGCGTGCCAGAGCAGTAAAGTCCCTGCTATGTCTCCTGCATCGGTCCTCTGTTGCAGCAGGTGCACTGCCTTTGCGCACCATTCCAATTCCCCGTTCTGCATCGCACAGTCCACGACCTTGACTAATGTCGGTGTTGTTGGCAGCTGACCTTCCGCTAAAGGTAGAGAGAAGACCTTTTTCAAGGTAGAAATCTCGTCGTGCTGTGCAAAGTAAGTGACTAATATTTCTTGAGAGACAGCATCCAGTTGCCCGACGGTGTTCAGCACTTGCTGCATGAGCTTCCAGAACTCTGACATTCGTCCTTCGTTTGCGAGGCCTCTCAACACAGTTGTCCACATAGGTAAGCTGGCTCGATCTAAGGCGTTGGGAGATTTGCGAAGGAGTTCTAGAGCGTCCTGGGCTGAGCCTGTTCTGGAGAGCACGGTAATATAGGTCAACAGGAGCGAACCTGGAGCCCGATGATGTCCACTGGGCTGGATGGGGACGTGGGAATCATTTGCAGCTCCGGGTCGATCCTTGAGTGCGTTGAAGACCAAGGTTGCTAGAATCCGTGCATCGGTTCGAAACCTATCATGACCTGTTGCAGATGCTAATGCCAGCAAAATGTTGTCCAGATCTTCCTCTGATAGACTCGTCTTGGTGTCTTCCATGAAAATATGACCACGCTCTTGTAAATGCTTGAAAGCCTCAGTGGCCAGGAAGACCTCATTTCTCGTTAAGCGTCGGGGGGACTCGATTCTAGAGGTGAACAGGAATCTGAGAGCATCGACAACTTCGTTATCCGGGGGTAATCGAGACTGGCTCCTTCGCGCCCTGATGAGATCAACCAGCTTGCTCAGTGCAAGTTCGACATTGGCAGGAGTGCTTTTAGCACCCTCGAAGCCCTGTCGAGCACCTCCAAAGTTGAGTCCAAAGAGATGTCGTCTTTGGTAGAGGTGATAGGTGGTGCAGGGTGACTGATAGGCAGGTCTCCTTCCGATCACTCTCTGGCAGCCTCTAATGGCATATGGTTTGTTGGCAATGATTGCACGGAAGACGCTCCGGGTCAAATGTGAGCACTTCATGGTAACAACTTTCAACACCAATTGCAATGGTGTTTTAGATGTCGAAGAGCGAGAGAAACATGGCCGAAAAGGAGGGGGAGAGGGGAGCACAATGCTGATTTCAGCTAGAGAAATCGTAGTGGCATGATGTTTTAGACGATTCTGCATATACAAGTATATGTTCCTCGTACTGCGATTGAAATGCGGAGATTCGGCGCACCTTCCTTTTGGTGTTCGGCCCTACAGAAAATACTGGGTACAAGTCTTTCAATGCCTTGTTCTCCATCTGACCTCAGTAGGTTCATTCCCTCTAGTTGCTTCCACAGCCCAGGTCTATTGAAATATGTCGGCTCAGCTCAGTCACAGCCTAGGGCTGCAGCTGGGTCGCGCCAGCAAATCTATCGCCTCATCTCCTCTTGACCGTACGTCTTCTCGATTATTACTGACAGAGAGACCCTGTTAACCACCGCTGTGCAGAGACCTTCAAACGCGCAGCCGGAATGACGGTCAGAGAAGCAGAACGAAGAGCAGCAGTGGCACAAGAAAATCAAGCCATCGCACGACAGCTTACGCGACCCTGGAAAGCTGGCGATGTGTATGCACCTCACGACCTGAGTGCGGCAGAAGCTCGCAAGTGGAGGGTCAAACACCGACCCACGACCGACGCTTTTGACGCACTATCTGTCAACCCTCTTACCTTGTATAAAGTGAGCTTGTGATCCCAAGGATGTGGTATCCCTATGCTAATCATCCCTAGAACTTCTCCGTGATGTCAGAGTATGTGACCGAGATGGGCCGGATCCGACATTCGAACTCAACCGGACTGCGACCAGTCAACCAACGAAAAATTGCGAAAGCCATTCGGAGGGCGATAGCATTGGGTCTCATGCCGAGTATCCACAAACATCCTGAAATCATCAAGGAAGAGATGCAGGGCAGAATGCTCAACACAGGGCGAGTGAGGTGAAGCTGGCATTCCTGGTCTGTCAAGGAACGCCAAAATATCCCACGCTATGGCAAGATCGACACCTGAATTCGGGAGCGAAAAGTTCAGGAACAAGTGCAAAGTCACCCTGCGCCTCGAGACCCTTTCAAACTGGATGTTGCGGGGATTTTGCACAAGGCAACTTTGCAGAAATCCTGCTTCTTACACCTTATCCTACGAAAGCTGCCAACCACAAGGACAAGAGCTGCGACCAGCCTAATAAACGAGAACCACACGGCAAGCCACTCCAGTCGTTATGAGGAAGATGGGTACGAGCAGGATACACGACCTTCCTGGCGATCGGCCATTTTTACGTTACCAACTCGCCACAATCTCCCACGATCAATGCCTCTCAAGGTATGTCGTGGGTATGATGGCATGCTAGTCTCCAATGTTCGAACAGCCCCGCGATTGAAGCGATTATACACCTTTATATGGTGTAACATTTGCCGTGTGCTTTCCGACACATTTTCTATCTTGGTTCTGCTAATTGTGAACGAGACTCGGAACGTTCCATTGAAGGGGGAGTGGTTTTGGGTCAAAGTGAATGCGGTCCGGCGCAAAGCGGGCTTGGTTAGAAATGGATATGTGGACTCTTGGTAGTTACTCGATCACGACGAGGATTATCGGCGGTTTCGCATTTTCTCTGTACTTTTACATGCTTATACGAGTAGAATGTCAGATTTGGAACCTAAGTAATCAAGAGCTCCGTCTGTTTCCTTTCTTATCGACCCGAAGAGGTACCACGCAGCCTTGTAGCCTTGTAGCCTCGCCAGCCTTGCCTGGAACAGAAGTATGTATATTTGGGGAGCTGCGGCTTTGCAACATCTTCACCTACCCGCATCTCAATTCAATTAAAACCACCAGAGGTGGTTGCTGTCACTTCTACCATACCCCTTCATGAAAGAAGATGTCCATAATCGCCGACGGCATCTATGCCGCACTTCCCTCCACCTCTCGAGGCTTGCCTACCCCTCTAAGTGCTGACTCCAAGGGTGAGCGAATTGCCTACGCTGCCAACAAGTCCATATTTCTTCGATCCATCGACAACCCTGCTATATCCACTCAGTACACCCAACACACGACTACGACCACCGTTGCCAGGTTTGCGCCTTCCGGCTTTTATTGTGCCTCTGGTGACGCTTCGGGCATTGTACGGGTTTGGGACTGCTCACCCAATGGATCGGGAGCGACAAAAGGAGAATATGCCATTATATCAGGGCGTATCAATGATATTGCGTGGGATGGTGACAGTCAGCGTATCATAGCAGTAGGGGATGGGAAACAACGCTATGGACACTGCGTGACGGCGGATTCAGGCAACACGGTGGGAGAGATCAGCGGCCACTCTGCACAGGTCAATGCCGTCAGCATAAGACAACAAAGACCCCTGAGGGCGGCTACAGGAGGTGATGACAAGAACTTGGTCTTCTATCATGGTGCTCCGTTCAAATTCAACGGCATCCCTGGTCGAGGAAACCATACGAACTTCATTTACGGAGTCGCTTTCTCGCCGGATGGCAATCACTTGCTCAGTGTTGGCGGAGATAAGAAGATCTATCTATATGACGGCAAAACTGGGGACGTGAAGACTGAGATCGCAGACGGCGCGGAAGGCCACAAAGGCAGTATTTTCGGAGTCTCGTGGTCCAAAGATTCGAAGAGCTTTGTGACTTGTTCCGGTGACCGCACAGTCAAGACATGGGATGTGGAAGCTGGGAAAGTCACTCACACCTGGTCTTTTGGCGATGCTATGGCCGTTGCAGATCAGCAAGTTGGCGTCGTATGGCCGGCAGGCAGGTCAGACGGAGTGATTATATCCCTGTCCCTGAGCGGAGATCTCAACTATCTGAACAGCGGGTCAAGCAAACCTTCCAAAGTCATTTCGGGTCATCAAAAGAACATTACCGCCCTCACATCTTCTGGTGAAGCGAAGAGTGCTACATTGTGGACGGGCAGTTCCGAGGGACGATTGTGCTCGTGGGATGCTGCAAATGGGACAGCGGAGACCATCGAAGGGGATGGACCAACCAACATCATCTCTGGACTTGCTGCTGCGCCTTCAGGGAAACATCCTCAAGTGTTTTCGGTTAGTTGGGATGATACTCTGAGAACAGTTGACGCCGGAGCCAAAACGTTCACAGGGCAGTCTACTAAACTATCATCACAACCAAAAGCTCTAACATGCACGACGGACTCTCTGGTTGTGGTAGCTCAACTAGAAAGCGTCATTGTGTACAATGATGGGGAAGAAGACGGAGAACTGCCCTTGAAATCAACGCCGACATCTCTCGCATCTCACGGTAGCACTGTCGCGATCGGTTCCCAGGATTCAAGTCTTCGCCTATTCTCCGTTGTGCCAGGAAAAGCGCCCAAGCAGATTGCGTTCATCGAACAAGTCTCTGCCCACCCGCTAACGGCCATATCCTTTTCCAATGATGGCTCGATGGTGGCAGTCGGATCTGCTGCAGGAAAAATCTACGTGTACAAGATCAGCACCGGCATCACGGGGATGGTGACTGGGAATTGCTCGCTCGAGCTTGTGACCGATCGGTGGAGCGCTCATACGGCAAAGATCACCTGCATCGCATGGAACCCAGAAGGTACAGGAGCAGCTTCTGGTAGCCTGGACACTAATATATTTGCTTGGAGCTTGAAGGAACCTGGGAAGAGAGTGAAGGAGACGAATGCGCATAAGGAAGGGGTCAATGGCCTTCTCTGGCTCGGAGACACTGTGTACAGCACTGGAGCCGATGCCACAGTCAAGAAGTGGAAGATCAAGATCGCATAGATGGGTGCATAGACGTTACGAGGCACATGGCGTTACGAGTTGACGAAGGACTGGTTGAGTCTCCTGGTCGAGACAGCCTGATGCAGTGAGGACGAGGCTGCGGGAAACAAACATTACACTCTGTTGAGGATCACGTAGCGAAATGAATGGCATGAGTAGCATGTACTTGTCACCAAACGCTCTGTCTACCAGAATTGTGGCAACCTAGACCGGACATTCCATCGGTGTGCGGTGTTCGACCCTCCATATTCGGGGATGGTGTTTGGTTCAACCACAAGCCTCACAATGTCAGGGCTCCGCAAACTTTCCCTCACCCACACCATCCAACTGCGACTCGAATGACCGGACTCTGACCAACTCCCACATCTTCCCGCCACAACATCAGAGAAGCCATGTCGAGACGCGCAATGCGCTGGTTCTCTGCATGAACACAGTCTTGCTCAATACCGCGCTGCGCATGCGCGCTCCTTGAATCATCTCCCATCGGTCCTCGGGCCCAGCCAGCATGGCTACATTCGACGAGACATTCAACCCCGCCGCTCTCACACGATCAGATACGATCACGTCTACAACGACCACCACGAAGCCTCCTCCCGGGTCGGCGTCGAAACAACCGAAAGCGGCTCAAAGCTACCCTCGGGTGGACCTGGAACCTTTGTATACTGAACTCAAGTCCTTGATCGGTCACAACTGGGATACATATTTCGATGCTATAACCAGGTTTATACGAGGTCAGCTGTACTTCCAGGCGCTGGAGGCTCAATAAATTGGACACGGAGGCTGACCACTGTCTGCAGGGGAACTGAACGCACGAGAATTCGGCGACCTCTGCGATGTCTTCATCTATGCGACTCCTCAGACCGAACATGCCCACAACTCTTTAATATTAGCCATACTATGTAACACCGGCAGAGATCCCCCTGAACCTGGACTGGCAGCATGGGTCAGCGCAACGACAGACAAATCCGCACTGACGTCCGGCACCAAAGCAACAGCCATCAGCGATGCGAGCGAACAGCGACTCAAGGCCGAAGTGATGGCCCTACCCGCACGAGACCGACGACGCATCAAAGGAGCAGCAAATGAGAAGGCGGACGAAGAGGCGGCGGCTCGAAGGAACCCATATGAAGAGCTGTACCTTGCCGGCAGAATCAAGGCACCAGAGACCGCCCCAAGTGCAGCCGCAGGAGGACTGACAAAGACAAATTGGGACTTGGAAATCAGGAAAAGATACGTGCAGCCACTTTTCTCAGAAACTCTTGAGTTTCCCGACACACCGACGATACATTCTCGGATCGTTCCCATTTGTTATGAAGAGTCTGTCGCGCAAGGTTGCTCAATACAATGTGCTGAGCTGGTGGGGATAGCCGCCGAGACATATCTCAAAACCCTACTGGCCGAAGTCGTGAATCGAACACGGTCCAATGGTCCAAGGTACGAGCACAGCGCAGGTGGAGGAATCTTGACGAGCTCCTACAAGAAGAAAATCGATAGGGAGGAAGAGGAAGTCAAGGCTGGGAGGCTCAACAGGACTCGTGACGACGACCTGTTGCCGACTGAAGCGCAGGTTGCATATGCAAGACGCCCAATCGGCATAGCAGATCTGCAACTAACTACCCAGGTTGGCCCTGTGCCTTGGAATGCGATGCCTTGTATTGCATTCAGCGTGAGCAATGCTTCAGCAGGATACGATCATGATCAATGGCTCATGGAGCAAGAGGAAGAGGCCAACGCGGCGGCAGCATCGACAACAGCGAATGGGCATATTGATCCAGCCGAGGATGGTATGGATGTTGACAACACCGACAACTATGGCTGGGAAGGTGCTGGGCCTCAGGACAGAAGTGGTCTAGATTCTGTTCTTGCTGATTGTCTGGCTATTCGTGTGTAGCAGACATAATAACATCGAAATCAGGACCAACAGAGAATAAGACCGTTGGGAAGGAACAAGCATTATGAGTCTGAAAAGAGTGAAGTGCCAGACGCCAACAATATACAAGGTTCGCCGCCTGGCTGACACACACCATCAATGATAAGGACTGCGGTACGCAGCCTTGGGCATTTAATGAACTGCGCATCCGTCGCAAGGTGAAGCGAACGAGTCTAAGAGGTGGACGTCGTGCTCAACCCTGTCTCACTTTGGAGAGCAGTGGCGGGCTACCCGGGACTGGGTGATATTTACGATATTTACAAGCATTCTCAGTCGTCAATTGATTATGGGGATTGCGACCAGACGGCGCGTGCGGGATGTTATGTTTTGGTGTTTTGGTGCTATGGGAGAAGGGCCCAGGGTCTATTATCGACGGTGGGATTGGGAGGCTTTGAGGCTTTCAATGTGATTGGTATGTGAATGAGCTCTACGATACCCCCGGCGTGGTGGACACCATCGAGGAACAGGATTCAAGAACAGTGAACCAGGCAGGGAGCACTCCGGGTTGCGAGCGGAGGAGGAGAAGGAGAAGGAGAGATTGATAGGTCGTGACGGCAATGAGGGATTCAGAAAACCAATCGGCCAACGAACCAACCACCTTTGCCATTGATGGGAAGTGGTATCCGGAATGAAGGCAGTTGATATATTCCCCAAGGTGATTACATGTATATGATGATCAGCCTGTCCAGTCCAGCCAAGTGTCGACGGTTTTCCCATTGTCAACAAACAATTCTGATCAGGCGGAGCAAGTCATGATGATTCCGTCGAGCGGGTCCTGAATACGTACTCTGTACAAGTGTATTTCGGAGTCACACGAGCAACTTGGAACGGCTTTCACAACTCGTCCTTTACCTCTTGTCCTCCTGTCTGCGCTTTGTCCGGCTTGCCTGGGGAATCCTTGACCATCAACGCTAGAATGTCGACCAGGAGATCGCTGGCCGCCACGCTCGTCACCTCCGCAACCGTGTCGTATGGGGGGCTCACCTCAACGACGTCGGCGCCGACCAGCCGCACCCCTTCCAGGCCCTTGATGAATCTCTTGACCTCGCGCGTCGTCCAGCCTCCTGACTCGGGCGTGCCCGTGGCTGGGGCAATGCTGGGGTCCAGGACGTCAATGTCGATGCTGAGGTAGACGGGGTTGTCGGTCCCAACGATGCTGCGCACCCGGTCAGTGATGCCCTGCATGCCCTTGGGGTCTTCGTCGATCTCGTGCGCCTCGATCAGCTCGAAGCCCACCACCTCCCGATCCGTGACGTAGTCCTTGGGCGAGAAGAGTTTTGTCCGCAGCCCCCCGTGCACGCTGCTCCCCTTGGCGATGCACCCTTCCCGGGCGGCGTGCCAGAAGAAAGTCCCGTGGGTGATGGCGCTCTGTTCCGAGACAATCCCCGTGTATCCCGCGTAGGGATCCCAGGTGTCTAGGTGGGAGTCGAGGTGGATGACGGAGATGGGCCCGTAGATCTCCTTGAGGGAGCGAAGGATCGGAAGGACGATCGAGTGGTCGCCCCCCAGAGAAAGGATTCGGGGATGTTGCCATGTTCTCTTGCCCTCGGTTGGATTTGACGAAGCGTCCGTTGTGGCTGTGCTCGAGGTGTTGTGGAACAAGATCTGCCGGTAGCCCTGCTCCATCTGGCGGAACGCATGCTGGGCGTCAAATGGAGTCACTGGGATGTCTCCGCAGTCGACGATGTTCAGCCCTCCTTCCGTCAAGGGGTCAATGCCCCAGACTGTGTTGTAGCTTCTCCCCTTCTTCTCCCTGGAGCTTGCGGCTCGAATACCTCGGGGCCCAAAGCGTGCGCCGGGCCGGTACGAGGTCGACGTGTCGTAGGGGAATCCTACAATGGCAATGTCCAATTCAGCTGCGTGGCGGGAGGAAAAACACCGCTCCCACGGCAAGTGGGCAAAGGTGACGGGCTGAGAGAAAGGGAGGTCTTTGTCCAGGTCCTCGAGGGGATAGGGGTAGTTGGGCCCGACTGAGAAGGAGAGAGGTGTCTCCGAGGCGGCGTCGGGAGTATCATCATGGGAATGGGTGTGCGCGTGGACGTGAGTAAATGCTAGAAGGGAGACGAACAGCACCGAGTGTGTTAGAGTCGAAGCCACTTTTCTCGCCATTGCTGTGCTTGGTATCGCTCGTTGTCTTTGTTGCCCTTCAATTGCCGCTTGGTTGTCTGGAAACGTTCCCTTCGCCACCTGCGCTGTTGCCCCTCCCTTGCTCTATCACCGGCGACACTGCCCTTGACCACTTGTACTGTAGAGGGAACAGGTGTCTTGCTTGTTACACGCCCCGTGATGTTGGGCCAGTTGAGCTGTAAAGTAAGTCGAATAGGCTCCTCCCGCCGCACCAAAAGCACGACAGGCCAGCCTTTATGGTCAGAACGCATTGTCTCAGCGGGGCGGCCGTATCGACTACTATCTGTCGTGCCGTTCCAAGAAGCATGCAAGCATTCTTTCATGGACGGACATGTCCTTGATACGAATCCACTCTTGCGCCGACCCATGCAGCTGGCATCTCCGTTCCCCACGTTGACGCACGAAGGCGAGAAACCCTTGTGGGTCTGTCGCGCTGGACTGAGATGGTGGTCACTTTCTGTGGTACGGATGGCCCTGTCCGATGCTAGCCTTGCTGCATGTCGATTGGAAAAATGCGGAAGCAGGAGTGGAGGAGAATTTGCATACAATGGATAAAAGCAAGTATATGATGGTGGACAAGTCCGACTGGGATGTGTGTGATCCAAGGAGCCATGAGGTAAACTGTCTCATTCAATTCAATGCTTCCAACTTTTCGTCTTACCGTAGATGAAAAAATGGCGACTGTGCTGGGGACAGCTCAGGTGATATATATGTTTGTGTCGCCGTCCCAGTGTCTATGCTGTGTGCTGGAAACACCGCCGTCTAAGTTCTGAGAGGGGACTTCAGGAGGAACGGACGCTTGACCTCAGTTGAATACCACCGTTTTGTGCCCGTTCAAAAATACTCGCTTTTCTGACCACCACTTGACTGCCGCAGCTAAAACCTGACTCTCCACATTGCTCCCTTCGTCAACGAGTTCCTTGGGCGTCATGCTATGGTCCACTCTCGTGACCCTCTGCTCGATAATCGGACCTTCGTCTAGATCGGCGGTCACGAAATGAGCTGTCGCGCCAATGATCTTGACGCCCCTGTCGAAAGCTTGGTGGTATGGCTTTGCACCCTTGAAGGAAGGTAAGAAGCTGTGATGAATATTGATGATTTTGCCGGACATAGCTTCACAGAGCTTCGGAGAGAGTACTTGCATGTACCTCGCTAGAACTACCAAGTCGATGTTGTGCTCTTTGATAAGCTCCAGGATGCGGTCTTCTTGTTCGGCCTTGGTGTCCTTGGAGACAGGCAGATGATGAAAAGCAATGTTATAACTCTTGGCCAGTGGTTCGAAGTCCTGGTGGTTCGATACAATCAACGGCACCTCGATAGCCAATTGCCCCTGCATATATTCTGTTAGGCTTGGACAGACTATTGACACAACCAGAAGCACAACGCAACAGTCTTTGTCAACAAAGGGGTCTCACAGTCTTCTGGCGAAAAAGGAGGTCGTTCAAGCAGTAGCCAATCTTGGAAACCATGATCAAAACCTTTGGCTTCTCAGCCACAGGTCTCAGCTCGTAGTCCATCTTGATATCGTTTGCCAGCTCCTCGAACGAAGGAATCAGGAATTTTGTGTCATCAGCCGGTCCGAAGTGCACTCTCATGAAGAATTTCTCCGAGGTCCGGTCGCTGAATTGTTGCAGGTCAAGAATGTTGAGGTTGTTTCGCGCAAAGATCCCCGTCACAGCATGAACTATACCCGGCTTATCCGGACACGACAGGGTCAGGATGTGGTCGTTGGCCATCTTTGCGAGAATGGACGAGTCTTGAGTTGACGCGGTAGAAAATAGAGACTTCGATCGGAGGAATGTAGCAGTCTTTTCTGCAGGCTGCACGCGGGGGAATCTTTGTCGTACTACACTCCGACTTGCAAGTCTTGCTCCACTCAAAATGGTAAGCATCTGCCTTGATGTCTGTCTGTGCAAGATTATGTGCTCGTGTGACTTGGGCCAATGACCGAAAATTCTGTCCATATCAGAGTGCACTTGTTGAGTTTTTGATCTGCCGTATGAGAAACTGCGCCAAGCTACGGCAAAGTACTTCCCCAGCTTTCGCCTCGTGGCCCTCTGCTCCGTTCTGCCTGCATGCTAGGCGCAGCTAGGCGCAGTTAGGCGCATCTAGGCATCCAAACGGTTCAACTCCACTTCTGGAGATTGAAATCTTGTCTCTTGAATCGCCAAGGGGCGATGAACAGTCTTTGACGGCTCAGCGAGAAGAAATAGAGGCCCTGTGGAAGTTAGGGCGGATCTGGTGCCTGGAGAGGTGAGACCAGCGCAGGCTCGCCAGGCTGCTGCCGCTGGCTGCGCCAATCTGATCGATCTCACGTGGGTTCGCGGTTTCGGATTCATGAACCAACGCGTTGCTCTCTTCTCGACCCGCCATTGAACTCCCCCAATGCTCTCAGCTTCTAGTATATGACCACGACCATCCCCTCCTCCTCCTCGTCACTCGGCCTCTTCATGGAGTTGAATGTCAGTCATCAATCCTCTGTCATCTCGTTCTGTCGCTTTTGCATGTTTTCTGCGTAAAGCTTGGTCCCACAGTTGTATCTGTCCGCCTTCGTCTCGTCTGCTCATCTAGCTTGCGGGCCCCTTTTCCATTTTCCACGCTTGTCTTCATACAGGTCTACCCTCTCCTCTATCAGCCACCGCCGTCACCATGGCTCTGGAGCTTCCTCCTCTCCCGGTTCCCATCCCTGACTTCGTCAGCTATGTCGACAAGAAACCCAGGACCCAGATCGGCGTTGCTGAGGCGGTTAGGCCCTTCAAGGCTTACGAAAGTAAACTGAGGGAGATCTACGCCCAGCAGCCTGATCACCCAGCTGCAATCGCAAACCATCTGGTACCTGTCTTCAAGGATGCTCCTGTCACCATCCGAGCAAGAGATCTTGCAAAGGAGTCTGACGCCGCGAAAGACCAGTTTCTCTTGTCTCTCCAACCGGAGGCTCGCAGGAAAGACGGTTCACCTGCCACCACCCAAACTCTCAAAGACTTCAGGACCAACTTTAACCTTTTCTCCGAGTCTTCGTTGGTGGACCTAGACTGGAGTAATGTGGTATGTGCAGGAAGTGCTGTCGTCACTTCTTTGCTACCTGTCGACGCTCCTCATAATGAGTCTAAGGTATGTCGCTAGCAACACGAAATCCTTCCGCGCGTGTTGACATGACTTTTCAGCGAGCCCTTCGATCCTATTACCATGAGACGCTTGCACCTGCTTCTGATGTCGATCTATTCCTCTACGGGCTGAACGAGGAACAAGCCATCGAGAAAATCAAACAAATTGAGACCAAAATTCGGGATAGTATCCTGTCCGAGACGACGACTATAGTAAGGAGCCCTGAATTCTCTTCCCAAAGTTCTTGGGCGCTCTCGAAGGCTCAGAGATGTCAAAATCTCTCGTCTGCTAACCGTAAGGCAGCGCACCAAAAATGCTATCACGATTGTGTCGGAATATCCTACCCGCCATGTCCAGATTGTGCTTCGCTTGTATAAGAGCATTTCTGAGATTCTCACCGGCTTTGACGTTGACTGTTCCTGTGTAGCTTATGATGGTCAGCAAGTATGGGCTTCGCCTCGAGCTCTCGCCGCATTCATGACTCAAGTGAACACAATTGATCTCACTAGAAGATCCCCCTCTTACGAAAATCGGCTGTCCAAATACTCCCATCGCGGCTTCGAGGTGGTGTTCCCCGGCATCGACCGAACACGAATTGATCCTACTATCTATGAGAGATCTTTCTCAAGGGTGCAAGGCCTGGCGAGACTGCTGGTTCTCGAAAAGTTGCCACATCCCAATGACAGGGACACGTACCTCGCAAAACGTCGAGCCGAACGAGGAAGGCCCCCGTTGTCGTGGAATTCTCGATTTCGCCATGAGCTTCCAGGAAATGTCAAAGATGCTCAACCGGATGACGTCGCGGAGTGGGTAGAAGAGGATGAAGTTTCTAATTACCACACTGTTACCATTCCATATGGCCCCAGATACACTGCCAAAAGAATTGAGAAGCTTCTCTTCACCAAGGACCTGCTCCTCAATGCTGAATGGAACAAACCCAAGGACAGAGAGACCAGACTGCATCGCCATCCAGCCTTCTTTGGGTCTGTCAACGACGTTCTTCGTGACTGTTGCGGATATTGCCCCGAACCCACAACCGACGCAGACTTTGCCGCGCTCGAGGAGGAAAGGAAGATCTATATATCTGGAGATGTTACATTTCTCAAAGATGACCCAGGCAGACAGGCCATCGGCAGCTTTAACCCCATCACAGACACCGACTGGACAGAAATGGCATATGTCGGCAACACTGCCAGGCTGTGTCAAGCAATAGTCGATCTGGACATTGATGCTGTCAGAGACTGGTTCTCAGAGCCGGAAGTTGTGGACGTTAACCGTCGGGATCCTGCTGGTCGCACGCCTCTACATCTTGCGGTCATGTGTTCCACCCCTGAAATCGTTCATTGTCTCATTGAACATGGCGCCCGCCTTGTATCAAGACTCTATAACGGTATGACCGCTCTGCACCTTGCTGCCCACCGTGGCGAGGTACAGATGGTGAGGGACATCCTCGACAAAAGTAACGCAAACGAGGAACAGGAAGCGGCCAAGGAAGAAGCGCGAAAAGAAGCACGAAGAGCTGCTGCCAGCAATTCGCAAGAAGCTAATAACATCAAGGACGAGATCAGCGACAGTGACTCCGTCGGCTCTGAAGACTTCGAGAATGCAGATGACGACGACGACGACGACAACGACGACGACGAACGTGATGATGCCATGACCGAAGGGTCTTTTGTGAAAGTGGAAGGCAATCTCGAAGTCCAAGATCCCGAGGACAAAGAGGGACCCGATGTCTTCGATGTCGATGTCTTGGCTTGGGATAGTCCTATGTCTCCTCTCCACCTTGCCATCCTCGGGGGCCACCTGGATGTCGTGAAAGTTTTGGTTGACAGTTACGGCGCCGATGTCCTCCTTCCAGTCAAGATTGTGGATGAATACAATCGAAAGCACGCTAGGGCTGCTATTTTGACCACCACTCTGGCCTTAGAGCTCCCGTTGCAACAGGCCAATGAAACCGTCCAAGGTCTTCTTGCTCTGGGGGCGTCATCCACGCAGGCGTGAGTCCCCCCATCCACACAAGGCCTAGTTCTTCAACAGCAGATCTATGGTATTTTATGTTCCGTGACCGTTGGTACAGGCTGACAGACGTTGACAGCGATATGAATCACATTTCTGCCCTTCACTATGCGGTCGAGACTGGAAAGGCGTTGATAGTGCAGACAATGCGCTCCGCTGATCCATCAAGCTTTGCCAAAGCTGTCAATTTCATAGCCATGTCCGGTTACTGGACTCAGCCGACGGTCGATACGCCTCTGCTGACCGCCATTCGCACTGCCGAACCGGAACTTGTTGAGGATCTTCTACGCATGGGAGCCAATACCCATATTGACTTCGAGCTCTTTGCGCAAGCATATAAGCGCAGCTTTGACAGAACCTCGAATGATCCCCAAGAAGTCGAGAGAGTCTTTAAAAAATGTGTCCAACAGCCAATTGTTGTCGGTGTCATCCACGAATTGGTGGATTTTGTCATCCTACTCATCGACAAGGGTGAGGACGTCAATACTCTAACTACTGGCGCACATCAATATCTGGAAGCTCCGTATCGCTCCTGGAGCCCAACACCAAACTCCTTATTGGACCTCGTGCGAGCCCGCATCTCCTCACTTGAGGAATACTTGTCCCCCCATGTCAAAGATTTGAAGCAGCCAGAGGCACTGAAGGAAGACGCCGAATACCTCCGCAACCTCGACAAAGGTTCTTACTGTTATTGGACTGCTTTCATCGACCTCCAGAATGCTAAATCGATCCTTCAGTATCAATTGAGGGAATATGAGAAAGAACTCCAAGCCAAGAAGCCAAAGCCGGAGGCTGGGAGGAAGGAGAAGGATGCGGCCGTCAGGAGAACCGTTGCGAAGTTGCGTGATCTTGAACGGAGGCTTCTCGAGAAAGGTGCTAAAACGTTTGCGGAGCTGCATCCGAAGGAAAGTGGTCAAGAAAACAAGCCCAACTACTATTTCGGATCGAAGAATCTCAACAAAGACCCGTACGAGACGAAGATATCTTTCCAAGTGCCAGATCTAACTTCGGAGAAGAAGGCCAAGTACATCACCCTATTCGAAGCTGTTTGGAAGGGCGACTCTGATACTGTCAAATCGCTTTGTCTAACGAGCGCCGACCCAATACAGGTGGCTATCACGGATCTTCATGGTTTCAGTCCGTTCTCAATAGCGGCCTTCCGAGGCCACTACGAACTTGCAGAGTTGATTATTGAGATTGCCAAAATCCAGTATCAACCGAGCGACAAGTCACAAAGGTACCACTACGTCCTCGGCACTGGCGACGATTATGATGAAGACAGCGAGTGCAGTGACTATAGTGACGATGGTGACGGCACGGAGCATAGTACTCGTGTGAGAGTCGTCGCCGAACTTGTTAACGACACCTTTACGATCAACGACATCGCTGCGGTGGCCGACAACGTCAAGTCGAGAGTCTCGCCAGCCATCATGACCTCTTGGACTTGTCAGATTGGGCACGCAGTCCAGAATGCAGCAGACGAGCGACAAGTCAGGGATGTTTTCGGAGGTGTACAATCACGGAATATCTACGTCAATGACGAACCAAAACAGTCTTTGGCATGGTTCAATGCGGCACTTGAATCGACAAGCCGGCAGAATCGAGCGTCTCTGGTCAGATATGCTATCTTTGTCAACAATATGGATCTGCTGAAATTCATCATCAAAATAGACAACACTCTCGCACTTGAGAAAGATGGGGATGGACTGAAAGTCGCGACCATTTCTAAACCCGATTTTGACCTAGCGGTTCGACTGGGTAGGGTTGATATGATTGGCGAAATGATCAAGTCTACTGGCTTCGGATTTCCTCTGCAGAAGGTATTTCAAAAATCAGGAATCCAGCTCGACGAGAAGCCAGAGTACTATCAAGGACTCAGTGTATACGGCAAAAAGCGTCAAGACTGGGCGGAAGCCGGCCGTAAAGGCCACCGTCCCCAAAAAATTGACTCAGATATCGGAGTCCCTCTTCTGGCCGCTATATTGGAAGGCAATTTGGAGACTACCGAGTACTTTATGTCAGATGCTCCCTTGCGCCACTACCTCGAGTTTGCCGAGACCTTTAAAGAAGAGAAACGCATCCAAGCATTAGCCCAGGCAAAAGGTGGCATCCGAGGAACTCTCGATACATGGCTGTCAACCCGGAATAACCTAGCACTGCACGTCGGTGTGTTATCGCCTCCTTTGGAAGACGGAACTCAGCCGTGCTTTGACTTCCTGCTTGAGAAGATGCCCCAAGCGCTTGAAGTCCGCTCCACCGAGGGCAAGACGCCTCTCCATCTTGCGTTCGAAGTGCGAAGATACTATGCCGCGAAGAAACTGATCGCAGCAGGTGCCGATCAACTCGCCAAGGACAATGTTGGACGCAACATTCTACATATGGTTCTTTCAACCATTCCAACGGACAAGCCCGCCCTCCTTGACTCGGTCTTGGGAATGCTGGACCAAAATATTGTTGGACCGTTGCTCCATGAGCGCTGTAGCAACGTCGAGTCCTCGGGTGTCACCCCTTTGGCAATGTTCCTCACGCGCATCACCGACAAAACAGGATGGGAAAAAAGCCTGAAGCTTATCCTATCTCTCTCGGGTGGCAAAGACCTCGAAAAGATGAATGGAGCGGGAGATTATCCATTACACTCGGTTGTACGACTAGGCCATCAGAATCTGGTGAAGTTTATTGTGGAGTACAGGCCCGGACTTTTGTACTGGGAAAACGCTACCGGGATGACTGTGGGTGATGTGGTGACCACTGCATATCTGCGATATCAAATCGAGAATCCGCCAAAGCTGAATCCGAATAGCGAGATGAGCATCCAAAATACTCCCGCCCGTGAGTTCGCGGAGGGTTCCGAGGCTGGTTCAAACAAGGATGAAATCCCAGATGCAGCCGGGCGCAGCCAGCAATGGCTGATGTACCGCCTCATAAATTCCCTTATGGCCAAGTATCCAGCGAAGCGCAAGTTGGTGGCACTCCATGATGCGAACGAGGTTGCGAAGCGCCTGGCAATGCAGCAGCAGAAGCAGAATGAGGAGAAGCGTCGACGTGAAAGACTTGGAGCGAATCTAAGAAACTGGCGACACCAGGAGCACTCTGAAGACGCTGGCGAAGCCGAGAATGGGCCGGACGAAGTGGCCCAGTATCTGGATCAAGCGAAAAATTACAAGAAATGGGACGAGCTGGTCTGGAGGAAGGTGGAGGCAAAAGAGACGAAAGACTCGAATGGCCGTGACATCGAGATGGAGTACCGGCGCCGTGGGAGTGACGCAAGTATTTCTGATGAGATGACTGTGAGCGTGCTGACAAGCCGGTGAGTTCTGCTCAGCAGTGATTTAGGGCTGGTCCGTACAGTGGAAACTTCTGCCATTGATGGAACGACGAGAATATGGATGGTTGTCGACATTGGGGGAATTCGGTTGAGGTATATATCGAGCATCAAAGGGGATTTTGGCGTGGTGATATACTTGGAAAGCGGTTAAGGATGGGGTTTCACTCTATTTTATCAAAGACTTGTCAGCCTCTCAACAGGACAACGAGCGTCAATTGTCACTTATCTAGCTATCTTCCTTTCTTTCCACCTCCACCCCTTCCCTTGCCTTTCCCACCACCACCGCCTCCTTTGCCTCCGCCTCCTCCACCTCCACCACTCCCACCTCCCAAAGCACCTCCCATCCCACCACTCTGAACGATCCTGCAACCCTTGACAGGCAAGGCGCCGACGATTTCCTCAACCCTCCACTCCTTCAAGAGGTCCATCTCACGCCTCCAGACCTTGTCCTTTTCGCGGTTCTGCTCGTCCACGACCTTGGGGCCCTTGGTCGCGAGAGAGGTCCAGAAGCCCAGGATCTCGCGCACCACTTTGCCCTTCTTGACGTTGCCGGGTTGCAGCTTGATCTTGTATTTCTGGCGGGTCAGTGCGGTCCACGGCGCCACGACGGGGATGGCAGCGACGAGCTCGTCGCCTGGTTCCGGCATGGGCACAAGCCGGTCGATGTCTAGTAGTTCGCGCCGCTCCTGTTCCACCTGCTCCTTGCTCAGTTCGTCGTCGTGATCGTCGAGGAGGCCGGCAGCCGCTCCTCTACCATTGGCATCGGCCGCCGCCTTTTCGAGCCTTTCTCGACGCAAGCGTTCCTTCTCCGCCGCCTTTGCGTGCTGTGCTCTTCTTCGTTCTTTATCTGCCAGGGCCTTGGCTTCACGGGCAGCCTTTTCTGCCTCTACCGCTTCCTTGCGTTCTTGAGCACGGTTAGACCCAAGGAGTTGCATGGCCAGAGCTCGGTCTTCCTCGTCTTGGTCGGCATACTTCTTTTGGGCGCGTTTCAGCTTCGAGCGCTTTCCGCGGGCGAGTTGCGCGGGTTTGGACTTCGCCGTGGCTTGTGACGAAGGCCCCGGCGTGGACGTCCGTGTAGATGGCTCTGTCGCTGGAGTGTCCTCTGACTCTTCTCCCTCTGAAGCTTCGTCTGCCGGTGGCTCTTCCGTCTCGTCTTCGATCCCAATCGCGCGCTCTTCGAGACTGCTCCCCTTGGTATCTGGATGGGACTGAGCAGCATTGACCTGTAAGGGGTTCGATCTCTCTTCCTCGGCCTCCGAACCATCCGTAGAGTCGCGGTTATCATCATCGCCTTCAACATGACGTGATTGTTCACGGTCCTCATCCAAGGCGACTCCGCGGTCGTCCTCCTCCTCTTCATCCACCGCAGCGTGAGCAGCATCTTCGACATCGGGTATCACTTGGCTTCGATCTGGGCCAGTATCGTCGGACGTGTATTGTTCCTCGATAGATACTCCACTCATAGCGTTGGCCAGCGCTTCAGCCTCTCCCGGAAACAGGCTCTCCGTTCTCTCCACCCGGTGCTTGCCATGGTTGACCCTGCTCTGCTCGCTGATCAACCACAGGACCCCAAACCCAAGGATCAACTGACTCGGCGGCAACAGATTCTTGTGTCCTCGGATGACGAATCCACCAGTAGCGAGATACTCGCCATTTGGAGCCGTCTTGCTAACTTGGTCCGCATTGACCCACCAAGCTCCCATCACCGCCTTCGAGTCCCAGGCACTGCTCGTGCAGATAGTCAATGTACCAGCTTGGGAAAGCGTTGAGGGAGGAATCGGTGCATCGGGCATGCGCGGATTGTTTTTCACAATCACACTCGATGCTCCTTGCAAGTCGGCATGCACGTAGACATCGCCCTTCTTCAGGTATCGCCGGTAAAGAAGCTCGTTCTGTTGCGCATCCTTGCCTCCAATCACAAGATATCCGTCACTGGAGATAAAGTACAGGAATTTCTCAAACCAGAACTGTTTTCTTGCTGGCCTCAGGACCGCCTTCTCCTGCTTTAACCCTTTCTTGAGATCTGCGTCAATCTTCTGCTCAGCCGATTTGAGGGCCTTCACGGATGCCTCCACAGTTTTCTTCTCTTTGACCGCTGCTGACTTTTTCTGATCATAATATTGGCGTGCGTTTGCCCAAGGTGATAGTGCAAGATCAATATCAATCGCGAGCCGTTTATCTGTGGTGGGTGCAGCTTTACCCCGAGTCTCCTCGACTTCCTCGTCAGACGCAACCTCCTCATCGGTCTCATCTTCTTCGTCACTCTCGTAGCCTTCATCAAAGGTGGGTTCGTCAAGGAGGAGAGTCACTGTATTCTCCTCCAGCTTGAGGGGAAGTTTGACCATTTGAGCCACAACATTACCTCGCTTCTGCTCGTTTTCGATGAGCTTCCCAATATCAACCCAGTCCATGCCTTGCGCGACCAGGCCGTTGACCGCAGCACAGGCTTCCTCCACGCGGTGGGGGTTCGCCTCGATTGCTTGGGCCTTGCGGACGTGCAATTCCTGCACCTGTTGAAGGCCTGCCAATCTTTTTTCATGCTCATCTTTTGCAACTTGCAATTTCCGTTTCGCGATTTCTTCTCGCTCCGTCAACCGTGATTCCAGCTTCTGAGATTCGATGGACGAATAGAACTCGTCAACCGTACGATTAAAACCGTCGAACTCGAGAATGTGAACACCTGGCTTGTTCTGGAACTGACTTGGCTGAAATGGATGAAAATCGTCATAAACAATCGACTCCCTGGCGGGTTTCTGCGCACTGGAAGACTCCGTCTCGCCCGAGGAAGGAGTTTTCTGTTTCGCAATAATGTAACCCTTCGATTGCCCGGAACCTAACGACTTGAAAACTTGATCTGCAACTTCCAATGCAGATATGACCGATCGTAGAGACTCCTGGTCTCCCAAAACGTCCTCCGCCTTCAATGTCGCATTGACGCTGGCTTCTCTGAATGCATGCTCAATCAAGTGCTGAGGAAACTCGGGAAAGCCGATACTCAGAGCCTTTACCAAATCATCGATTCCCTTTGCTCGTTTCGCTTTCTTGCCGCCCACCTCTTTTGCAGCTTTCGCGCGTTCCACCGCCTTTTGAAGAACCTCCCTGACTCTTTCTTCTGTTATAGGAGGTACTCCATGGAAATTCTGCTTTGGCTCGAGGGTGTACTTTCCGCCCAATTTAATGTCCACATCTGCATCTCCTTCATTGACTTGCCGCTGCAGAGCGAGCACATTGAGGTCCGCGTCGGTGACGATGATGTTCCCCGCAGCAAAGAATTCCAAGAACAAACGATATAGTCCGTCGCTGAAGGTGATTTGTATAACTCGGTCGGTGCCTATCTGGGCAACGCCAGTGACACGTTTGCTCTTGAGATAGTGGCGCAATCTGCTAACGAAGGCGGACGGCTGAGTCGCAGCGGTCCGGGAGAAAGAGGTCAAGTGGCACCGAAAGCCATTGTCTAGGAGCAGTTGTTCCCGTTTTCCGGGTTTGGCGAATTTGAACAGGAAAATTCGACTGGAAAGATCGTAGACATTCGACAAACGGAGGCCGGTGAGGGAAGTTGATAGTTCATTCGCAATGACCTACAATGCAACAACGCAACGGAGTCAGTTGTTACTTGCAGGCGCAGGCGCATGCGGGGCATGGGAGAAACACAGACCTTGACGTCGAGGGATGAAAAACGCTGTTTCATGATGAAACCTCTTTTGCAGTTTAAGCGGATAATATAGAGGACAACAGGCAAGACAGTGATGCTCAACACAAGGCACGACTAGCACCGGGAGAAATTGACATGGTGACTCTTTGATTGGAAATATTTCAGCGTCCAGATGACGTCGATTTGGTAATTTCATCGCAGCAAGCTGTGGCCTCCCGACAAGGCTGCAATTCCCCCCAAAAGTCTTCAAAACGTCCAACAAGCCCCAGGTCTTGACTTTTAATGGTCATGATGCTCATGGTCCTCTTTTCCGCTCCCTAACGCCATCCAGTAACATCCTCGTTGTCCATCTCACATGTAGGCTATGACAGTACCTTCAGACGATCGCCCCCGTTTCCGCCGTCCACGGAAATCACAGGTTTCTTCGTACGAACTCCATGCCCTGCTTCTTTCCAAACTCCCAGAGATTCTGTATCCCCTGTTCACTCAGGTCAATGTTCTTCATATTTGGCGCATCCTGTGCAGGGGCCTTTGAAACTCTGGATGCCACCATCACCGGGTCCGTCTCCAAAACTATGCCGTCGTCGACAATCTCGTCAATGGCCAAAGTGACCAGATCGTAGTTCTCCATGATCGTGCGCTTGTCTGTCGAGTTTCTATAGTCACCCTTGTCAGTTGCTGTCAGCAAGAAGAAGGGGGGCGATAGACAGACTTTAACAGTATGCTCAACGTATCTCTCAGCGCCAACACAACATTATACAACAGAATCTCATTCTCCTCTGGGCCGCCCACCACGTAGAGCATAACGTCGCTCTCCATCTTGAACACCACGACTTTGTTATCGTAGAGGATCACATCTGAGGTCTGCTTTGATGTCTTCTCCAGCAGTCCCTTTTCAAACGCTTTCTGTTCCTTAAGGTGTGGGTATGGCTGCGATTGCGGAGGGTGCTGTGGCTGAGCTGAGGCATGTGGAGGATTGTAGTATTTGGCAAACAGCCTGGAAGAATCGGGTGATGAGTCGGTGGATAATATGAGGATCGCGACGACGCTATGGAGGGACATGCTGGGGGCCATGGCGGATGAGCGTCCTCTTCCGAGGAATGACGAGTGTCTGCCTTAAGAAATCGAGTGTTTTGGCAGCAACGTCGAGAAACAATTTGTATGTATGTCTGTCCAAATTAATTGACCTGGCCTCAATTGCGCTGGAGCAGCAAAGACCGAGACTTGGAGAGCCATTGCGGGTCACACGTCAAAGGTCGACCGTACAGAATGCACCGGTGAACCATAAGTTGGCGTAGCGCAATATAGTTCAGGCTTTGAGCTACAGAGACTTTCATCTGTGCATTCAACAAAGGCCAAGGTGTACAGAACAAAAAGAGGACGTCGCCCAGTCCAGCAGCCATACACTATCACTATGGGCAAATCCTCCAAAGACAAGAGAGATGCGTACTACCGTCTGGCCAAGGAACAAAATTGGCGTGCACGCTCTGCCTTCAAACTCATCCAAATTGACGAGCAATTCGACCTGTTTTCGTACAACAAACCCGAGAGATGCACAAGGGTGGTCGATCTATGTGCTGCTCCAGGATCATGGAGTCAAGTTCTCTCGCGTGTCTTGATCAAAGGTGAGAGCTTTGGACGGCGGGCTTGGGTTGAGAAGATGGAACGATACCAGCGTGCAAAAACCCAGAAGGACAGCGAGCACATGTCTACTCTGGAAGTCAACCAACCAAGTGGCGAGTTAAAGCCTCGAGCAAACGTCAAGATCGTCGCTATAGACCTTCAACCCATGGCTCCACTCGAAGGCATCACCCAACTCAAGGCCGACATCACTCACCCTTCGACCGTCCCCCTGCTGCTTCGGGCGATCGATCCAGACTTCTCTCCGCAGAATACAACCCACCTGATCGATCTTGTGATAAGTGACGGTGCCCCCGATGTCACTGGCCTCCACTCCCTCGACATCTACGTGCAGTCTCAACTGCTCTACTCGGCACTCACGCTTGCCACCAAAGTGCTGCGTCCCGGGGGGAAATTTGTGGCCAAGATTTTCAGAGGGCGAGACGTTGATCTCATCTATGCACAGCTAAGGATTTTGTTCGAGAAGGTGAGTGTTGCGAAACCTAGGGCGAGCAGAGCGAGTAGTATCGAGGCCTTTGTGGTCTGTGAGGGCTATAAACCGGTAATGGTGAGACGGAAGGACGGCACAGAAGTGCTGTGGACACCAGAGATTGAGGTCGAGGACGGAATGCGAGATCTGGAGCCTGGATCCGCAGCAGCTCCTCTGTCAGCGACTCACGTACAACAGCAAGAGCAAGGTTCGTCGGATTCTGCCTTAGGCGCAACAGGCCATACCAACGATCATCCAGCGCCAGAAACACAAACCCGTGACCTTCGGCCCGATGGTATTGTCGAACTCCAACTGCCATCTATCGAAAACGCCGATCCGCGGAGGTACATTGCCCCATTCCTGGCCTGCGGTGATCTCTCATCCTGGGACAGCGATGCGACCTACAAGCTGCCAGAGGGCCATGTGTCGCTAGACCCGGTCCAGCCTCCAACGGCCCCTCCTTACAAGTTGGCGATTGAAAAGCGGAGGATCGAAGGAGGAATGTACGGCAAGACCAAACACAAATGAAAAAAAGGACCCAAATGAAAAAATGGCCACAAATGAAAAAAAGGCCACAAATCGATAGATAAAGACCACCCTGTATACCAATCAGATAGCTCTGATCAACGCATGCGCTATACTGGCTGACTTGACGACTTCCGGCTAACGCTACGACGATGGCTACGATACTCTGGATCAACAATTTTGCGTCTGTCGGTGGTCGAACACACGTATATGTATGCTGGACTGGTTCTGCTGGACTGAAACCCGGGAGACACCGAAACATTTCGGAATGCGCAAACCAACCATCAAAACCATAAAGCCAGCAAAGAACACCTTTGCCAGATCAGATCCGATCCCAGCCACGCGGATGGATTGGGTCAAAGATCCCTTCAAGGAAGATCGCAAGACTGCTGTCGCAGCCACTCTCTGCATGAAACTACGAATCTAGGATTCAGACATCAAGGAACAGCCCGCTGTAGGTATTCCACGGAAAGAAGACGCAAGATTGCTACCAGAAATCTACTTTTCATTTGTCGTATCAGATTCTCATGGTCGTCGTCAAACTAGCCCATCCATAAAAATCAGATTGAAGGTCATCCAGAAGACGGCACTCCCCAGAAGAATCCATAATTCTGTCTTGGTCCAGACGAATACATCCCAAAAATACCAATCCACAATATTTACGGAGAAAAGCTTCGCTTGCTCGAACGTGTCACAAGAAAAAGGAGCCAATCCCGACAGTATCTCTTCCCGGCCATCGGCAGACGCACGGCCATCATCGGCCCTGAGCTCTCTGATAAAACACGATATATGCTTCCCCGTTCTGAAGTCTGTCCCTGGGGTTCAGTTTCATTGGGTCCAAGTCAACATGCCTCTCGTCATCGAACTTCCTCCACACACCCCGGCCCTGGTCCTTCACAATAGAGATATAATGCCCACCATCACCACTATTACCCAGGTGTCTCAGAACCCCGTATGCATCGTATGTATACGGTGGTGTCGTGGCAAGCTCCATATTCATTCGCCCATCTTGATCCGGCAACGCGGGTGGTCGCGGAATCACAAAGTCATCCATACTTAGATTGTGCAATGGGAATTCAATGGGCGTGTGGATTTTCTTGGCCTTTTCGTGCTTTGAAGCGGCGAATCGCTTGAAATGTATCACCAGGAACTGTGGCAGGCGAGTCAAGATGATTTGCTTGGTGGCTTCACGCTCGCACTTGCAATATGGACATCGCCAAAGCTCCGACAGTTTTTCCTCCCGACAGTATGAAGCAAGACAATCGTAGATATGGCCCGCACGGTCTCGAGGAATTTCCACGCTGATGCTGTAAAATGCTTCGTATGTGGTCGACGTGCGCTTGCAAGTGAGACAACGCAGGCGTGAGGCATGTTGGCCGGCGAATAACGAAGACATATAACTGTGGTCTCTATGCTCGTAGCGTTTCCACTCAATTGGGCTGGCTCGTGCAATTTCCATCCGCTCTCTCTGCATTTCCTCTGCAGTCGTCAATGGCCGAAGAGGTGTTCGCTCCCAGTTGACATTCAAGTCCTCGTGAAGGCAATCGACAAGGAAGTCGAAGAATTCCTTCGCATCTTGCTGTCGATCTATTACCCATTCTCGATTCATGCGGCCACAAAAGTTTCGAAATGTTGACGGTTTGATCACTTCAGTGTCTCCCTGCCAGACGGCTTGGATCAAGTTGGCATAGAGCTTAGGCATGATGCCATTACTGCCCTTCCAGTTGCGCTGTACATACCCCTCGTAGAGTCGATCGTTGAAGAAGTTCGACAAGGGAATAGTCGCAGATAGACACTGTAGAGTTGAATTCATGTAACAAGTGACGCCGAAGTTTGTGAGACCAGTCTTGGGCAACCGTCTGCGCAGGGATGTTACTGTTGAGTACAGAGGCGGCCGAGTTGCGGACGTCACTCGAGCCAGCGCTGGTTGGGGCGCATTGATATCAGCATGGCCTGAATAGCTCGGTCTGGGTATTGCGGGCGCGGGCCTTGCGGGCACCTGAGGAACGGCAGGTGGTGCAATTTGAGGGACGAATGCAGCGTGATGAGACGGAACAGGTCGTCGAGCCGGCATAACCATTGATTCCTGCTGTTGAATTGAAGGGAACCGGCGCAAGAATGTCTCGTAATCGGGTATGAATGGCGACGGAGGCTCAGGCTCTTCTTCTACCACCGAGTACTCCTCATCGCTTGCGGTGTCATGCTTCTCGACTGGGGTCACTTCTTCCTGAAGTGCCTGCTGACGCCATGCTTCTTGTTCACTCTCATCCAGAAATTTGTGGTCACGAAGACGCCTATTTCGAACTTCATAGCGAGAATTGGCCGAAACCATTCGTTGTCGTGCGATAGGCCGACCAGGGCCGACGGGTCTTTGCCGCGTAATACCCAGCGTTGCAGCAGTCCTTGACCGGGCAAGTGAATGAATTCCCATGCGATCCACCCACGCATCAAGACCACCAGCCAGTAAGGCCGGTGGTCGACCATCTTTGAGAGGCTTCGTGTCATTGAATTCGTACAATGTATCATATAGTGCTCTTAATGCCGGAGCTTTGGTCATGATTGGTGGACCCTTGAGGTAGGAAACATCGCTCGTGTATTGATCATAATAAACGACTAGGTCAAATTCATCTCTGCGAGAGAAATGCGACTGTTCGTTATCCGGCGCCAGGACCAGCCGGTCCTCAAGTTCCTCTGCTGAGACCCCTTCTTTTAAAGAGATCGGCTCTATACATATGACGGACGCTGACATGATGTGTCCTTCGTCGAACAAAGATCTCTCTCTGATGTCTATCAGTAACACGTTGTACCTCTTCATGTAGTCCTGCAGGGTGGCAGCATCGATTGATGTCTGATGAGGGAGATCACTCGAGCTATTCTTCGGGATGATGGCGGAATTGACTCCATTCGGAGTGGTCGGTCGATAAGGGGCAGAGAGCTCGTCACGAGTCCTCTGCAATTGTAATGAAGCGGTGGATGAATTCTGCGATTGATTGTAGTAAGTCTGCCTCCTCTCCGTGGGTGGACGGCTAACTTCTGCCGAAAGCCTATGGTTGTTTGCATGAAAATTGGCGGATGTGGTGTTAATCGGGCTGTATGTAGGACTGGGAGGCTTCGGCAAAGCCATACAGGTTTCAATTGGCACCTTTGGTGGGGCAGCTGGTACCTTTGGTGGGACTATAGGTCCGTTACTGAAAGCAGGAATCGATCGAGGAGCAAGGGGTCGCGAAATAGAGGTATCATTGGGATATGATTGTGAGTTGTATCCTGCTCCCTGCTGAAAATCTCCCGCTTTGGGCATAAACAGTAAGGTCGAGTGTTCCGTAGCATTTCCTGGACCTCTCAGCTTCGCGAATCTTTGAGTGAGGTCGTTGGCCGCTTCAGTCAAAGGTCGACCTTGTAAACTCTCGGGCTTTGGTTTACTTGACGGACGTGCTCGAGG